TTAAATCTCCAGAAGTCATCCTCCTACCACGAATTTTTGTAGTCACTCCTCATATCCGTAGGAGAATTTTTACTTTTATTCTGTGACAAACATACATTTTTGCCTTCATTTCTGCACTTTAAAAAGATGCAACTTATATATAAGGTAACATAATTTATTTTTTATGTCTTTTATTTTTAATTTTTCATGAACGTTTCTTTATTAATCATCTCATGTTTTTTAAGGTATGTACTGGTGCGTGAGCCTTTAAATCCCGGTAGTGCTCTGGGCACCCCTTTAAAAATATCACAGTGCAGGACTGCTTGTGTTTATATACATTCGGGAGGGCTGTCAATTTTCTAATTCAGTTTACTTGGCAGGTTCAGAAAAGATCATCCTTAGTGTTGTTTTCTTAAATCAAAATGCCTGTGTGAGCTCTGAATGCCTGAAGCACTCCTTACATCCAGCAGGAAGTATCCTCGCTGTTTGGAATTTTGTCTGACATGCTGAAGTAATTTCAGATTCTTTTTGCAAATTATGTTTATTATGGTCCTGACATAATACAGCTTGACTGGCATAGCACCCCGTGTGTAATATACGTAAGTATGGTTTACACTTCATGTATTTAACTTGCTATAAAAGCTTAAGCAGGAGCAGTCTAAGCTCGGTGCAACTTCTGCCTACATGCATTAGACGTTTGGGTTTGGTTTGTTCTGTAGCTAATTGATGGTAATCTGTGACAATACTTTTTTTTCTGGTGGAAGATAAAATAGTTCTACATACAGCTTCTGTTGGTTTTTTGCCTTATCGTTGATTTTTCACACTCATTTCTCTGTAAAATTTGTGGACACTTGCTAGGCTAGTAATTAAATTGCCTCAAACCCTTGAGTTTTTTAAACAGGTGTAATGTAGCAACATCATTAGAAGGGAGGTGACAGAGTGTTCAACTAATAACTGAAAGCCAATGCCAAGGCTTTGTAAGCTGTTGAGAAGGTTTTTTGTAAAGTATGAAGTACTGCTTCCTTTTCCCTTGCACTTTAGTCTGTTAACATTTAGTCAGCATTTGCCTTTATACAGTGTCTTGGACTAACTGGCTTGATGAGTCCTTAATCTTCACTCTGTCTTTATTAACAGCTGCAGTGGGTTTGTTTGCATAGGTTAAACGGTAGACCTTGTTTGACTCTAGTAAAATGTTGCTTCTTAGGCACAATTAAATTGTCAGAATTGTTGCCTACTGTGAATAAATGAAGAACAGTGGAGAGGGCAGCAGAGGAAGAAAGGACAAATTCCCATTAAATTTATAAAAGAAGTCAAAAGCTATTTCTATTAAAAAATAGAAAGGATGAGAGAATAATGCATGGTAATATTTTCCACAGGTTGGGCTTTTGGACTAGTACTGATTCATTGTCAAAAAGTTTAAAAAGCTCAGTCATGTTGTACTCCAAAATTAATTGCAAAATCCCACAAAATCTCCTCTTGGGTCCAAGCAATAGCACAGTGGTGCCTCTTTGCACATGCCCTTCAGAATTTGATAAACTTAACTAAACTGAGAGTGTGGCAGTCTGTAGTGGAGAATCTGCAGCATTCGCAGGCAAGCTGGAGGCAAGAAGCACATATCCAGCCTATTGCCAGTAAGCCCGTCATTTGTGATGGCTGCCCTGTGTATTTGCTGACCTCTTCTTTGTGTTGACTTGGAGGTTCTGTTTGGAATTGGCAGTTTTAAGAGCTAAAGCGAGAAGTGTTGCCCTGTTGTTAATGCATTCAGTGCTAGCTGCCAAGTAAAGGAGAGCAAATGGAAAAATACTGTATTTATTTCAGTATAGCATCTTAAGGAAGCGTAGCCTTCATGTGCGAGTAGCTGGGATTTTCAAAAGGCATCTGTCTCCCTTAAAATGTGTTTGAAGTTTCAAAGCTCTTTCCTAATGAAGACAACTCACAGCATAGTAAAATGGTAATTAAGTATGTTGAATTCTCCTCCAAATGAAAAACACCTTGTTGTGTACTGCTCTGACCTGTCACATGGTGTGTCACACTGATGGTATGACAGCACTTTTGAGAAGAGTGGCCACAAACTGACAACTTTGAGAGACAGGCTGTGGACTAATAAGAACTTAGACCAGAAATCTGAGTTTTCTGGTTTGTACATGGAAGAAAATGTCTTTTTTTTTTTTCCTTCTACATGACTTCAATTCTCTTTTTTTAATATATGGATTGCTATTGGGTGGAGTTTAGTTTTAGGGTAGCTGAGATTAACTTTGGTCTTTTTTTGTTGAAGGTTTATATTTAACTAATGTGGAAAATGTTGTTAAGGGACCAAATTACTGAAGTTAATGGATTAGGCAGAACACCACAAACTGCAATGACGCATGACTATCACTTGCAAAAACCCAGGTGGTATTTCACAGACACACGAGATGAGGAGATGATGAGGAGTTGGATAATGAGTACTGTCAGTGTGTTTCTCCAAGTAGCAGCATCTGGAAGCATTCAACACTGGAGAAACCGGCCACGAGAAATTTTGGAGGAGAACATAACTGTTTGTTGAAGCACTATTCATGCGTACTACACAGAAACTAGCTTGTGTTCCCCGCTGGGCAGCAGTATGTGCTGCCTCATTTAACCACATCACGGGGTACTTTCAGGGATGCGCCCAATAATACTACAGCAGCTACTGCAGCTGCATCTACCAGCATCCTTCTGTCGGAGCCTCTGTTGGAGGCATTCACTGTTGTTGAGAGATGACTCTAGTCATCAAATTGAAGCTAATATTATGGGAATTTCTGAGTTGACAGTAATTATGACTTGGATTATTTCCAGAAGACGTAGCTCAATAAAGGAACTTGGCTGAAGTTTACAAGACTTTGGTTCAGTTTCTGGCTTTTACCATGTTATTGTTCTGAGCCTTTGACAAGTCATTTTTTCTTTCTTCCTTAATGCTTTTTCTGAGAGCAAACAATCTAAATATTCTAAGTGTACATGTATTTGTGTCACTTCTAAACACACTGATAATATATGCAAATTCATTCTATCCTTGTTGCAAATACTGCGAGTGGAAATTTTGCACCTGAGTTTTAGTTGCTGTGTTTTTTTCAGGCTAGAAACATTCCAGTAATTCCTGCTTCTGTTTCAGGTGATTCTTCATCTTTATAGATTTGGTTGTGATGGGGAACGTAGGTAGGCTTTATCCTGACAAATGGGAAAGAATAGTGAGAGAAATTGCCACTATGTTGAACAGAAATACAAGTTTAAAGAAATAGGCTTGTAACTACGGACCAGTGAAACTGAGATAGATACTACCCTATTTCTACTCATCCTTGGAAATAACATAGTAAAATATCTTTTCTTTAGGTAGGGCTAACAGCCAGCCCAGTCGCTGTGCCATCTCTCATAACCTTTTCCATTCTGGAGAATCTAAGTAGGGTGTGAAAGATGCTGGCCTAGATTGCCATCAATTACTCTTCCTCTCCTCCCCCCCCTCCCCATTTCTGCTTGAATTCCTTTTAATAACTTTATTAAAACCTGGTAACTCATTGTAACTTGTTCTCCATTAAAGTCAACTGAGCAGTATTTATTTCGAACACATGCAAATTGATCCATTAAAGTCAATGTCATCTGGCTTGACAGAAGCCTGTGGTTGTGATGGGTGGAAGAGCAGGTAGCGTTATTTCCACCTTGTAAAGTGCAGAGTAGGCACACAACGCTTTAGAAGTGACTTCCAGCAGTTAATAGGCTGCAGTAATTTATCTGCATATCCAAGAAACTGTTATTGTTAATATTGTTAATATTATAAAAATACTTACTTATTTAGTTCACACTTTTGAAAAGGCAACATGAGCTAAGAAATTCTTTTCACTTTTGCCCTCAGAACAGTCTAGCATCTCGCAGAGCCTGACTGCCACTTGTAATTGCTCCCTGAGCAACAAACTTAACAGACTTGAGAAATTATAATTGCTGAGCTGCTGATGTGTGAGATGGTAGGTGTGTCAGCCATCAGGCGACTGTGAATATTCTGCAGTTTGTCGTTTTGATTTCATTCCATGCAGTAGCACTTAATGCTTAGTCAAGAGAATGGCTCTCCACAGATTATCAGATTTTCTGATATTGTACAGTGATGGTGCTGTAACATGTCAGTATTTAAGCTACCTTTGTGAACTTGTGCAAAAAGGAAATTGTTGGAAATATCAGAGGATTCTGCTTTTTTTTTTCCTGAGCTGCACGTATTTTGATTTGTGTGACCTGACAAAGCATTTCCACTCCTCTAGTCTGACCCTTGACTGTATATTTAGGTTTTACTTACTTTTCCTTTTTTCCTCCTTATAGTGCTGTCTAAATAAATAAAGAAATACATTTCTGAGGCTGTAGTTAATACCTTCATCTTTAGGCGTAGGTTACATACCTTTTGACTTCCCTCTGCATTTCATGTTTGCCTGCCACTGTATTACATAAATTCTCTATCTAGACTTTGAAATGTTTGCATTAGAATATGTATATATACATGTATTATAAATAGGTATACATTGTAAGTGACGTGCAATATGTGAATATAAAAATATGTACATGTGTATACATTCCAGTTGCTGGGTTTTGCCCTCAGAATGCCTTCTGAAGACCTAGGTTTGATGCCATTGGGGGTTTTTTTTGCTGGACCCAGGTTTCTTCCTCTTCCCAGCTCTAAGTGAGGCAGTCAGGTTTGAGCTTTTTCCGACATCCACAGCGAGATTTTTTTATTATTATTTTTATAGGCACCAGGCTTGTGAAGTCAGGTCATCTCTCTTCGCTTGCACATCTTTAATCAGATCATCTACTGAAAACATGTGGGTTTACGATAAAGCCAACTGTAATTGCAAGCTAATCTGCTGCTTCTGCACCTTCAGTGCCTTTGGCTCTTTGCCTCATATTACTCTTAATAGTTTGTTAATACCAAATAATGCAAAAACATTGCTTCCTTAAGTACTTAATAGGATATACTGTAATGGAGATAAATGGTGTATAACGCTCTTTACTTGTACTTTAGGAAAATAAACTGAAGGATGCTGTGCAAGAAAAGAATCTCCTGAGCCTTCAGTATGCAACTGTGTCCCACAAAGCACTGCAATATGACCAGGTAACATCATGAGCACAGGTCTCGTACATTCATTTGGTAGAGAAATAGGAATGGGTGGGTAAAAGTGGATTGTGTAGTCTTTTTTTTGTTCTGATTTGTTTTTTCCTACTTGAGAATGTAAAATATTTTAATTAAAAATAAATTACTAAAATCTATTTTATGAACAACTGTTATTTTCAAATGGAAATGTAACATGTGATAGCTTTTAAAGTGGTACATCATTCCTCTGATGCATATTTGCTTAGTATTGTAAATTGGTATTAGGCTTTGGTAAAAAGACTTTTCCAGTGATTTTGATGAGCCTTAACTGGAAAATTCTCTTATTTTTCAAAAAAATTATGATAGAAGTAATTGCTGTCTCGTCAGTGTTTTTCCTACCTTTTGGCATTTTTCTTCTTATTTTTAAATTTCCTAATAAAATCTTGAAAAGCTCTTGTTCAGCAGCAAGTGTCCAAAACTCTAGGAGTTGTTATTTCCCCTGCAACACGGCACACGGCACAGTCTTAGCTCCTCCAGGCCCTGATATAAAATCTCTTTTAATACTAAGCATTTTTCTTCAGTTCTTTTTGTGCCTGTTACGGGACAAAAAAAAATACCTTCCTGCCTCCAGTGTGATTATATCTATGGGAAATACTGCATGGTGTGACGAGCATGGGAGGAGAAGCCGATGTGCCTTACCTCACCACATATGCGTTCAGTGGAAGAAACATCCTGAAGCAGCCACTTTACAGGGCTACATTTAGCTAAAAATAAAACTCCAATCTGGGATTTCTACAGGGCTTAAGTGAGTTGCTCGGCAACCTCATTCATATCAGAAGAGCTGTAGCTCACACAGGCTCTGATGAAAGCCCATCCTCAAAGCTTGCAAAACAGTGGTAGCTGCGTGCTTTGATATCTGATGTGCGTGTGTCGCAGAGCAGCCACTGCTGAATTTCCAAACCAAAGGATGTCCGATTAAGTCCCTGAAACAATGCAAATTGCTAAAATTCAGAGGTGGCTAGGCATGTACTCTGCATTTTGTGTCTAGCATCTGGTATCCAAGCAGACCTGAAATTTCCTGTTACTGAGGAATTTCAATTGTTTTTATATAAAATAACAGTGTGATAATGCTTTATGATAGGAGGAAGCCATGTGTATCATCACATCGCCTAATTTTATTCATCCATCTGTCCAGAATATCTCCCTTTCCTAATGGTTTTCTTGTCTCTTTATGGCTGTTTACACGGCGCCTTTACTTCCCAAAGCACATAAAGATAAAGTCTTACTTAGGCAGTTTTATATTCCAGCTGACATGGGAATAGCGTGCAGCATTAATGCAGTGGAGACTCAGTACATTGGTGACACTGAAAGTGTTAGCCCTCTTACTATCAGAAAGTGAAGAACTATGCAGTTAATAATGCTTTATTATAAGTAATGTTTTTCTTCTACTGTACTGAAGAGCTTGAGGTACATCAAAAAACCTGGTAAAAGCAATTTAAAATGTGAAGGTAAAATGCCAACCTTTGTCACATTACCCACTAAGTTAGTAATAAAATTACCTTTTACTGTTTGTAGTGTCAGCATTTGTCATACTATGGGGGTTTGTTTCTTCAAATATATTAAATACTGTGAAAGATACAATGCAACAATTCTGGATGCCTGTGCCACTGATTTAATATCACAGCTTCAACAGGATCAAAGACTTGCTTTAAGCGTACTCTCTTAACAGTTTTAACAATATACAACCTTTGCAGTATACCCTGAATGTTAACAAACCTTGTGTTTTCTTTGTTGCATAAATGTTTTCTTAGGGAGTTACTTGGGTTTTCCTGTTCATTTGTTTTTGTGTTTGGTTGTGGCTGTGTGGGGTTTTTTACCACACACAATGAGGTTCGTGATCCGTTGTGCAGCTGAGATTGCATTTTACTATTCAGAAAGTGTGAAACTCTACAGCTTTGGATGTGGAGGTTGGAGCAGAATTCTAACAGAGTTAGGGCTCAGCCCTGAAGGGGAAAACCTGCCTAAAATAATTTATTCTTCTTCACCCTTGAGAGCTGGCCTGAAAAACAGGCCAACTTTATCCAAGCAAATGGGGTTGGAGGAGTGTTTATGCATTCTGTTATGTAGTACAGATAAAACTACTGCTCTTTTTTGCACAATGTGATTGCTGAAATTTGACTCTAAAAACGAGTAGATATGAGGCTGACTACCTTTAAATTCACAAAATAAAGCTAAAATTGCACATAATTTACATGATTTAGTTTTGGTACTTTGCATAAGAGAAACAAAGTCGCATTCCCAAAGTAGAGTAATTGTGGAAGGATTTTGTGTCCTTAGGAGTGCTATGACATTGGGTTTTGACTTTTTTTCCGGCTCATCAAAATATGTATGGCTACTAGTGTTTTTATGTGAAAATAGAATAGGCATTATACATTCCAAATTTATTTCCAGAATACCTGAAATCATAGCATTTTCGTGGCAGTTTCTGAATAATGTTTTCTGAACAATATCACTTGTTTGAGAAATTTGCATGTCTCTAAAGTATAGAATTAAAGCAAAGGGTGGGTCATAAAGCTAATGGAGCTTTTCACCAATTAAATAAACGGCCGGTTCATTTTGGTGTCCTGATTTTCAATAGCTGGTTTCTATTTAAGTGTTCAGGAAGTGGAAGACACTACAGCAGTATTCTGGCCTTCATAACTGGCTCAAATGAAGGCACGTTTAGTAAGCATGAAGGTATGGGAGGAAAAATAAATTGGTTGATGCGTTGAACAGCGAAGCATCACAGATCAAAATGTTCTTTGTTTCTGTCATGAAATTAGAACTGTTCAGGATGGCACTCTATTTAGGTCAACTGTTTTTTGCCACTGGGAGCATTGATGTTTTGATGCGCTGTGTGTGTAATTCAAGTTCATGTATATCCCATATGTTCTTAAACAGCCCGCTTGGAGAGAGCATTAAATTCACATTTAAGAACAAATGTTGTCTAAACAACAAACAAAAAGGCAAATGGTAAACTCCTCAAGTTTGTGCTGTCTTATGGGTTATATGAGTGTGTATATGACAGCATTCTGTGTAGCATATAATCTTCAGAGGAGAAAGATCTGGCAAGAGTGCTTCGTAGAAATATTAAAAGTTGTTAGTGTTGCTGGAAATAACAAGAGTAATTATCGGAAGGTGGTTAGTAGATCTAATTATGTTCTTTCCAACCTGCAAAATGAAAATATGCACAGAACTTTGTTCAAAAGCTGATCTGCCAAAAGAGAAAGTAGAGAAATTATCAGAACCATTTGTGTCTTCCTAAATGTAACTAATTCAGGTATGTTCTGTGAGATCCTAAATGAAAGATCCTGGGATGTGTAAAATGTCTAGAGTTCTACCTGTCTTTAATTCATCTCTTTCCAAAACAACATTAGCAGTCTGGTAAGAACCATTTGTTCTGGTAGCCCCTTCACTGCCAGCAGTGAAAAACACGTAGCTGAAAGGTACCTGGTCATGAACTCCCAAAAAATTATCCAGACTATGATGATGAGTAAGTGTTGGAAAATTCCTCACAAGGGTAGTCAGTTGGTATCAATTGTTTTGGAGACAGGGAACGCCTGAGGAAAAAAATACTTTCTTGAAACTTGTTCAAAATATTGTACTTCATGCATCCTCACTAAATTAATTGAGAATCACAGACGATAATAAAATTACATTGTTAATAGTGATACCTCATTGCTTCCTTTTTCCAGTCCATTATTTTTCAACAATATACACTGACTGATCTGAGCAATGAAATACAATATAAAGGATGCAGGAAGTTAATAGATTCTGAAAATCCATTGTTTAATAGTTCCCTTAGTTATAAAGAAATTAGGGAAGAGGAAAAGAGAAATCTGTGCACAGAAAAAACAAATCCTGAGGTTGACAATAATTGCATCAATTCTTGTGGAAAACATGATTTGTTCCATTCTCCTCTTTCTTTTTTCTAGTCCACTGCACTCTAAAGAGCTCTCTTGCAAAGATGAATATGAGGGCTGGCTGCAACCATTTAGATTGTTTGGTCCATGGCAAAATTTGCAAGTTAACAAACTGGAGCCAGAAGGCAAATAGAAAGGCTGAATCAGTTTCCAAAACATCACTTTAGAAAATATCCAGGAGATATCCATGCCAGAGATTGCTTAATGCCCTTCATTCTGTAAAAGACCCAAGAAATTAGAGTAATTAAATGGGAAAAAAGAACTTGTCACTTCCTCAATTCAGGTTAGAAGGAAACATGACGATTAAAGCCTGTGCCTTATCCTGACACTTTGTCCTGCTCTGCCTTCCTGCAGTCAGTGATCTGGCCACCAGTGTTGATCCTTCAGAGCTGGGTTGCAGTTAACAAAGGAAACACTCTCTGCTAAAAATATTATGGATCATTCTTTGCTTTCTTACCTTTTATTACCATCTCTGACATCTCTGAGATCCAGATTGTCATTTATTTTATGTGTTATATTTATTTAAATTTACATAACGTACACATAACTATAGTTTAGTTGCCAGATTGTAGCCCTTGCTGAAAGAAAATGTTTTTCATACGTATGTGTATATGAGCTGCCCACAATTTCCTCAGTGAACGTTCCCTTCCATTTGTCTTCTTCTTTCCTATTTTCTTTGAACTTTATTCCTTTTTCCATTTTAACATGCAGAAATGTTTGTGTCAGATATAGTTTTCCCTTCATTAGTTAGCTGTTTGGGCAATAACCACATTTTACTTTTTTCTAGGTAAAATCAGATTATGACCATCTTAGAGAAACCCTTCTCAAAGTGACCAAAGAACGAGATTTGGCTCTAAAGGGAAAATACCAGCTCCAAGCCAAGCTGGAGAACTTAGAGCAGGTCCTAAAGGTATGTATAATGCTGTAAAGTGCAACAATTCAGTACTTCTGTTGGTTTTTTAATATTCATGATGTTCATTCAGTGAGTCACAGAAACATAAGTGCATTGCAAACTAGGGAACTGAATGCCCCTATTAGTTATGATGAAATGAGTGGAATACAGTAGACCAGGTACCTACAAGGGATCTCAGACTGTTGGAGTAGAGACGTATTTAGAGATCTTTATCTGATACTTTCTAAGTAACCGGATGTAGGTTTTCACTGTACAGTTCTTTGAGGCAGTTCAAGAAGAAAAGGATGACAACTGGCTGCCAATGAAGGAAATATCAACAACTGCCAAGATACTTTACTTTAAAGAGAGCTTTGTCTGCTAACCTAACTTGATGCAAAATGTTACTGTGGCCTGTGAAAGAAGCTGTTGGTACCAGGTCATGTTGCCTGTGCAGAGCGCATCCCATTGTCAGGACACGGTTGCAAACCTACTGTTGTTTCATTAGAGAGAAAGAATTAGAGTGCCTGGTACATAGCCACCCTTCTTTTAGCATGCTTCTAGAGAAGCTTAGTGGGCTGATGTCTAACCATGCTTGTTTTCTAGATACACAATTGATTTCACATCATCAGCTTGCTGCTTCTTTTTCAACTTAGAAAAACTCAGTATTGCATTTAGAATCCGAAGTGTATTCTTCAGTAGAGGTTTGTAGTTAAAAATGTCATCCTGCTTCTGTTTTCCTGGTTATTGTGTGTAATGTCATGGGACAAACTGATTCTCTGAAATAGTGGAATTCACCATGGAAACCTAAGAGACAAGATCTAGCTGACATGATGGGGTAGAGTGAGAATAAAACTCAGTTAGCAAATGGAATCAACCGAGGGTTTATCACTTACCTTGTAACTCCATGGGACAGCAGTTTGTCTGTGTTGAAACCAAGTGCAAAAAAAGTTCTAGTGGTGGGAATAAAATATTTTTTTGCTAGGGAGCAGCCAAATCCCTGAAGTGTAATTGGTTAAATAAAGATGGAAGTCAGTAAGTCTATAAGCCAAACCTGATAGATGGATCAGTATTAATGGAGAAGGGTCTGAAAAATGCCCCATAGGCAGTGAGCTGGTGTCTGATGTGATGGGTAGAGAGAGCCAGTGGAAGGAAGCATACGATGTCATGGAAATGCAAACTGGTTTGAATGGGCCACAGTTCCCAGGCTTGCTTAGTTGTAGAAAATACAGATGCTGTGATGTGGAAAACTGCTACCAAAACATGCCTTGAAAAAAGTTAAGCAACTAAGATTATTTTTAAAAAAAGGGGAGAGGGGAAATGTCATACAGTTACAGCTGTCCGTGTCAGTGGAATAACTGCACTGGTCAGGACTGCGGTGTGAATTCTTGAGAGCGAACACACTTGTAAACACTTGTTTGTAATTCAGACAAGTAAGCTGACTGTTCTGTAAACCAACTTATTCCAGCAGCTTCTAGGTATATGAGCAGCTGAAATCACATACTAGGCAATGCCAGAGGGTGTTAACTGTTAATGTGTTGTGCAGTGAACTATCAACGTGCTGTTTACCAGTCAGTAGGTAGTAGTGATGGAATAAATCTAGAATTATGTGCAAATACGAAGTACATCTACTGGGGAGGGAAATTAAACTGCTTAATTAAATAGCGGAGTGATACACTGTTATCTGTCTTTAGACTACTACAACTTTCCCAAGGAACAAGTAGGAGGTTTTTCTCTATCAATGGAAGATAATTTACTTTTTCTGTTATTATTGACCTTTCTTTTGGGGAATAGAAAACGAACAGTTCCACAGACCTTTATTACTTATTTGTGATTTTACCATGAGCCATGTGGCCAGTACCTATAAAAAGTGGGATCGACACATATGAAAGGTATAACTTGCCTGTGCTCTCCATGTAATGATTGTGGCATTCCAGCTTGATAGCTGCAGAAATTCAGTTCTTTAAGGAGCACATAGTAGAAAGATAAGAGGAAAAAAGTTTTGAAAAGAAATGAACCGTGAATTCATGGCTCATAAAACCAATGAGGATTAGACTTTACTCTAAGTAAGTTGGCATTAATTCTCATTTCATCAAATAAAAATACAAACTGTTGTTGGCTGGCCTCCTGAGCTGTTAAAAAAATGCTTTCACGAGGAGTACAACTCATTTCTTGTACCTTGTTTAGATACTTATTTTGCTAGGCTTGTGTATTTTTGAACACTTGAAACTCATCTAATGATGAACTGTCTTTTTTTTTTTCAAACAAATTAAGCAGCGTACTTTCTTCTTTGGCCACACCAAACAATTTTCATTCCTCCACTCTCTAATTAGGTTATCTGCTGGCATTTGACTTAATGATTCCTCCAAATTTGTTCTGTAGAAGAGCTGAATCTGGATATTTGGCTGATTTTGCTTAGCTGCTGTTGCAATAATATTTGCGGGAGAAACATTCTGTGAATCTCACTGTTCTTCTTAAGAACTCCTTCTGAAGTTTTGTTTCAGTGAAACGAAAATTGTCTGGTGGATATAGAGATTTGACTATCCATGTTCAGAAGTCCTCTCCCTTGAGCAGAACCCTTCTGATCTGGCAGAGCATCTTGAACAGACTTGAAATCCTGAATCTCCTTTTTAGCACTAAACCACACCCAAGTAGATGCAGTTAATTGTGTATTTCATGTATGTCCTCACATGCTCGGGAAGTTAGTAGTTTGAAAAAATGGTTTACAGCTTTCCAACCGTTGTAAAGATTTCATAAATGTTTCGCCTATTTTCCCTGTCAAAAGAGAAACTGAGTTTCTCTTTTGAGAAATTCAGGATGTATCAACAAAGCAGGAAAGGGAAGATGAAGAGTTGCTGAATTAGCTAACTTCTGAGAATCTTCACAGCGCCTCTCCCATAGAACAGTTTTGATTTTCTGACGTGTGCAGCCGGCTCTTCAGTTCATTCCACTGTAACCGCACCCACCCATCTGCAAGCACAGATGACAAGTCCTTTGATAAGAGTACTTGGGTGAGAATTAAATTTGCTCCCCATTCAGCATCGGGTATGAATTCTGTCTCAGAAACAAGACTCTAGTACTTGAAAGCCGTTTGAGTTTGTTCTAGCATTAGCCAGTTGCACATTTTAGAGCTGTAAAAGTCTTTGCTCTAGGAAAGAATAGGTTTCTTTGTTTTGTTTGCAGCTGTAGGTAATACAGTGCAACCAGTGAAATGGTTGGAGCTAGGGTGGGCTGTTCATTGTCAAATCCCTCTGCTGCCCATGCGGAAGCTCGAATAGCAAGAACTGTTTGAGTAGGTCCCTTAACTGCTATTTCAGAAACAGTTTATACTGTACAACTGTCTAGCTCTGTAGTTCGAAAGAAAACTGAGATATGCACGATATCCCCCATCTTTCTCTGATGCCTAGAAGGATTCTTGCCTTTGATCTGAAAGATACACTGAAAAGGTTTCTTATTCACACTGTCCTTGAAGAATAGATCATTATTTGCCAATTGTTTTGAAATATGAAGTCCTTACTGTATTTTTTTCTGTGCTCTTTTAGATGTAGATTTGATTTCTGATGCTAGAGTAACGTTATTAGGACCTCCAGAAAGGGTGCAAACAGGGAAGTGCAGATTTACGTGTTTAGAAAGTTCTAACCTTCTTCATATTAAGGACAGTGGTAGGAAGGACAAGTGGATTGCCACCACCTCCATAAACCATAGCAGTGTGATCATTGTGAAAGTCAGTCCTGAAGGAGGATGCAGAAGGAATTCAGCAGCTCAGAGCTTTCTGCCCACTGTTCTTCCTGCAATCTCTGCTGTCCACCTCCACCACCCTAACCTATTCCCCTCAGGCTTGGAAGAAGAAATGACAGCAGCTGATGTGCAGATAGGAAATGCGAAACAGATCTGCAGACGGAAGCAGTTTGTGAGCAGAGTGGCAGGGGAGGAGTTCCTTCTGGTTTGGGGAACATTTAGTTGCTGTGCCAGGGGAGGGACAGATGCTGGGGTGAAGACATCCTTGCTGCTTTCAGTACTAAGTAGATCATGACGATACTAATTAGATCTGAGAGACACTTTCGGGTTAACATAGATGACCAGTGGTATTTTTGGACCTTAAAAACTGTGAACTGTAGATCGTTAAATGCATATTTTAGGAAAAGAGAAATTAAAAGCTGGAGGGATTCACAGATCATGTATCACAATTTATTTATTCATTACATTTTTTAGATTCAATGTATGGTCACTCTATTAATCATTTCTTGATCTCTGCAAAGGACAAGAAATGTTCTGTAGTAGTTTTTGTAATAGTAATAACAATTTAACGGTATCGAAATATGCTGTAGCAAATCTAGTACTAAATCTCGAGTGAGTGAAGTAAAACCTTTGTTGTTTTTGTGATAACTGAAGCTTTTAATTAAAGGTACAAGAATGAATTGATCGCCCCACCATTTCTTGAATATGTAAAATGTGCTGATACTCTGTTGGTGTTAAATTTTACAAAAGACTTGACGAAAGCTGCTGAGGTCGATAAATGTAGCTTCATTCTGATTTAAATCACGAGTAATACTAGTTAGCAAAATAGGTTGTGTTCAATCAGATGAGATGGGAATAGTGACCCTTATTTTTGATCATTATTAAATACTGAGAATGGATACTACCCACGCGCAGATCCATTTAACTTTTGTACAATATGCACAGTTCACAGATGTCTACAGTCAAAATACCGAATCCTCATTAAACTCCCAGAAAGCAAGCCATAGTTGAGAGTCAAAACTGATAAGTTAAACAAATCTTTGTTGATTTTTTTTGGTTGTTTTTAATCAACACATTAAATGAAAATAAATAAATCCCAACCAGTGGTGAAATGGAGTATTGGAGACATTTCTGCTTCCTTTCTAAGCATATATAGATTGAGAGAAGTCGGCCTCACTATGCTGTCTTGTCTTTGTTATGAGTAACAGAGAAGAACAGCTCATTAAAGCTTAGCAATATATTGGAGACATTTCTGCTTCCTTTCTAAGCATATATAGATTGAGAGAAGTCGGCCTCACTATGCTGTCTGTCTTTGTTATGAGTAACAGAGAATAACAGCTCATTAAAGGTTAGCAATATGCTTGATAAAATTTTCTCTTTTACACAACAAGCAATGTTTGGGGCTATTTTCATCAATTTCAGCCACGCAATTGTGTTTCTAAGTGCTGATTCCTAATAGGTTTGTGTGTAATAAGTCATGGTGCTGCAGATAAGACATGTGCCTCTGCTCTGAGAGTGTTATGGGAATAATATGTAATTGGAAAATAAAAGTCTTTAATACGAGTTTCACCAGAGAAGAGATCACAATCTATAAAGAGATCTTTCTTAACTCCCGTTTATTAACAGGGTGTTTGAAAGTTCTGATGATACTGGGAGAATCATATTAACGTGTAATGAAAAAGATTTCTATCTGCAAAGGGTATCTTGACATTGTTCAGCTTGTGCTTTTCCCAAGAAGGTTTCTCATATTGCTTTGAATCATTAGTAGCAACTGTACTTCAGAAGTAGGTTTTGAGTACTGTATAGTCACTTTCTTCCAAATCAGCCTGTTTTTCTCTGTCTAATTGGACATAAGTAATAGGCAGAGGTTAGCAAAGGTGAGCTATTTCTTTTGGCTCATCATTTGCAAAACAAATCACAAACATGTATCCTAGAAAAAGAGGCATTTAGGGACATGTCAAGGTATTTTTTCCCAAAGCTTTAGTTTTTCAGCACGATGCCACCTATCACTGTGAGCCTGATGGGTAAAACGGGTAAAACGGGTTCACTTCTGCATCGCAGAGGCACATTGCTGACAGTGACAGCTGGAGATCCTAAAAGAGACTGCTGTCAAAATGCCCGAGTCGAACGTTGGTAATATGCCTCTAAGTAATAACCAAATTAAAATCCTACCCAGGTTTGTGCTTGTTTGTCAGTGATACCAGAGAACTTTTATGTTGAGATGAACATCTGTGTGCCTGGGGATGACGACATGTTTGGCTGCAGGTAGAATAAGCTGAAGTCTCCTGCTAGTTCTTCTGCTTCCTTTAAAACAGCATATGCGAGAGGCTGCTGAACGGCGGCAACAGCTGGAGTTGGAGCATGAGCAAGCCTTGGCTGTTCTCAACGCCAAACAGCAGGAAATTGAACTCCTGCAGAAGGTGAGTGGGGAAAGGGAAAGTAAAGGTGAAGTAGCGAAGCGCAGCACAGATCGTGGAACAGGTCTCCTGGCTGGAAGGAACTTGAAGCACAGCCGCCAAACTGGTTCCTGGTCTGGATTTTTATGTCTGATTGCAGACGCAGCTGCCACAAGTGGATAATTACTGTTGGATTTACATCACTATATGAATTGATTTATAAATGTTTGTGTCAGTGAAGATTAACCTGACCAGTGTACCTAAATCCTTGTATTTCCCAACAGGAAGAAAAGTGCCACAAATACACATATTTCCTTTGTATTTCCATTGCTTCCCTCTCTGTTGGGTTTGGAAATATTTTTGAATTCCTTGAACATCAGGAAGGTATCTGGTCTTAATTTCATGGCAATCGAAGTATTGATTGGGGAAATATTGATGGGAATCCACCACTTCCTTGTCAGTTTGCTGGAACACTTAATCATTCACACTGACATATTAATGGTTTGTTAGGATTTCTTTGGCTCCCTCTCCCAGATACTGTCAATTCTTACTTTCTCCACTCAACTAGATTAAAGTAAATCCTTGTCAGCATACTCATATGACAGCTGATCTTTTTCATGAACTAAACAGTTGTTTTAAGGACTTCATTTCCAAGCTTATTCTCACAAGACTTTTTTTTTTTCACACTGCATCTCCTCAATATTCATTACAATATAAAAAAAAAAAGATATTGAGTTTCAGTCTTACTGAAGTCACTTAAAGCTGCAATTGTTTCAATAGTAATGTTGAAATTTTCCAATTTCTTGACTAGATTAAAACACAGAAATAATAATGCTAATGATAATTTAGTAGAAAATGTTGGCTCGGAGGGCCATTATCAGCAGAACAGAAGATGTATCTAATAGAGTGTGCTTGAAATAGAAAGCTTCATTCGACCAAGTGAAATCTTCCAGTTTATTTTCTTTCAGCCTTTTGCGATTAATCTACATAGGCATATTTCAGAATGCCATTTCTAGTTATACTCAGCTCTTTGAACTTCCACATAAATTTTAGACTTCAATTTCTTGGCAAAGCAAAGAATTCAAAGAAAGGTACACCTTTTCTTTTTGCTATTTTTTTTTGCATTCTTGTAATAAATCCACATTATGTGGGTCTTTTTGTTACAGATTGTCAACAGGACACAAATCTCTCTACTAGTGTTTTCTCCAGTCACTTATGCTGAGCTGTAGCATGATAGACTTCAAGCACAAATGAAGTTGTGTTGTATTTAGTATTTTACTCAGTGCAACTACCCTAGAATCTGTAGCTAGTGATTTAATTCTTGTTCCGTGGACATGAAATAACATGGAATACAAGATCTTTTATTAGCTAATAACAATTCACTACTGAGTTCTACTAGAATTTTAGCTTAGAGTTCCTACACTGAAATCCACCATAACAATTCATCTGTGCATTACTTGGAAGTATTTAAGAAGTAATTCATCCTTCTTACTGATTTCATTCAATAACCTGGAATATTTCTCACAGGACTTTGCACAGAAACTCATTTTCAACCAGCAACATCTAATTCTTTATGTGATTTAAGTTGCTGTTGTGTCTTTTTTATTATTATTGCCTTTCATGATCAGGATCAGTGACAACTTAAATGAACATTCTGCCCATCATATCTCTTGACATAATCCCCATGTGATATTCATTCTACATACCACTTAAAAACAAAATAAGAAAATTTTTTTTCCAGTTTTTATTTTCAGCCCTTCCAAGCTCAGATTATTTTCCATTGTGACATGTCAGGATCTCAGCTGAGATGCTTAGTCATTTCTGTAATGCTGTTATTAATGCTACAGAATTAGAAAGAAGACTGGATTAGTACTGTGTATGGATAGAAGTATTCAAAACACTAAAAGATTTTGGGAGGATGTGGGTGTTGTGCACTGTTCTACCTTGTAGAGCTACCCAAGCTACCCTTAGATCTCTAGGCATGGTAGTGGAGATGAGCACAGACTAACTGGTCCTAGTATTCAACACATGTATATCATCAGAAAAGTAATTTTAATAAAGCTGGTACCTGAGCGACTATAATGGTTTTCTGCCACCATAAAACAGGAATTACAGGCTTACATTTCATCCAGAGCTGACCTAGTACACGTATGTTAAATTCTTTCTTCCCTTTTTTTTTTATTAGAGCCATCTAATTACTTGAAAAAGTACTGTGAAATGAAAGTAGTAACTCCAGATTGTTACAGGATGACATTTCACAGTGTATCTTGTTGCTGTCATAAAGTTGCTGACGAACCACAGAAATGTGCACTTCTAAACACAGCAAGTTACTGGTACAGACTGATGTGCTTGCTGTTACATTTTGATATTATAAATAAAATTTCATTGTGTTTTTTCATAGCCTAAAAGGAAGAATATAATATTGTTCATCAAGGAGCGTTTTGTGCTGATAGGGAATCAGATGGTATTTTTCTCCAAGAAAGCCTTAAATACAGACAGTTCGATATGAAAGAGAGATAGCTATTGATGCAGGTTTTCTAATCATTTATCAAAAACTCATATTCTGGGTAGATTTTATTAAACTTCTATGATGGATAACACAAGGCTTTCTATTATCTGTCGTCATATGTTTGCCAACGCTTGTGGAGCCAATATTTTGTCAGGTGCTGGCGACAGGACTTATTACTGTGGTACAGGAAGAAATGTGATTGTGTTTGCAGAGCTGAAAGAGGTTTATTACCACACCTGACAGTGCAGTATGGTTTGGGTTTGTGTTTTTGGTTGTGACTTGGTGGCCTGACCCAGCTTCCACTGAAGCCAGTAACAGAGTAGGCTAGTCAATCATGGGAGTATCTGGCCCACTATATTAGAAAGACTGTGGGGTGGTGCCCTCTGCTAAACTGGAGGGTTTTAAGACTGTTTTCTGATAAGGAGGGTTCAGAATGTTGTCTTTGGGTTACAGGAATAAGGAGCTGAGAGGCAAAGTTAGTGCATCACACTGCTATCATCTTGATACAATGGTGAAAATGGTTTTGCTTCTCTTGGGCAAGCTTCAACAGGGAAGATAGTAAAAACTTAATTGGAAATAAAGTGAAGATAATACAAAGTTACTGAGTGCTATTTTTTTTGTTGCTTTTAAGGTTTAGACTTCTCCCAACCAAAATTCGATAACTGTGAGCTACATGAAATAGACATTTATGCTCTTATTTATTCCCTCTTCATTGACTCAGTTGATTGGAGCCTAAATGTAGTATTGCTGTTTTCAGATGACTTTTCTAGTGGTTCCCTTGAGTGTTTTGTGACCTATTACTTAGATGATAAATACTGTTGCTGCATGTAAAGAATGAGCTTAATTTTTGTGTTGCTTTCTCCTGGCTGGTCTGGTAGGTTTCTACACTATGAACCTCCTGCAATGTAGAAAAACAAGCTCATTTTCCAGTTTTAATTTAGAGGCTTTCAGAGATGCTTCTGATGTGCTCTTACAGTGTGTTGAGCATGCTTGTCTTGGTCTAACAAAATACCAATGCTATTAAGCTTTACTGAGATTCAATAGCCTAAAAATAAGCAGTTATTTCAGTGGCTTGGAACCAAAGCGCTGTAGTAGTATTGGCAGACCCATCCCTTCAAGACTATAATTGGCTTTGGATTTGAATATACAGTATGCTACTTTATGTGGTTAGAGCATACTACATGTGGCATGATTAATTGATTTCTCTTCTCTTCTCTTCTCTTCTCTTCTCTTCTCTTCTCTTCTCTTCTCTTCTCTTCTCTTCTCTTCTCTTCTCTTCTCTTCTCTTCTCTTCTCTTCTTTCTTTCTCTTTTCTCATCTCATGAAAACAAGGCTCAGGTTGAAGCTAAGAAGGAGCATGAGGGAGCAGTTCAATTGCTAGAGGTAAGAAGATACCCTTTGTGTTACCTTTGCTTGTGGACATTCCATTCTGAATGATAACTAAATATACAGTATCATGACTTTTGAAAGTTTCAGATGATATGTAGACACATAGGGTTTTGGGTTTTTTTCCCTTCTAATGTAATTGCATCCTTTAAAGATAGTAATTCAGTTAGGAGTGCATTAGGCTGAGCTGTTGGAACTGCTATACATACCTCAGTTTCTCTTTGTATAGAATAGAAGTTTTGGTACAATTTTTTGGGAAATGTATAGGAAGGAACTGTTTACTTCTTAGAATTATCATCATTTAGGTTGGAAATACAGCTGCAATACCAATCAATTAACTAATCAGTTAACTAAGGTTTCTAATCAAATACTGTCTAGTAAACATAAAGCAGCATGTTAAAGATCCAAAACTTTTAAACTTAATGAAAGAATTTTGTTACTTTGAAAAGCCTTCAAATGGTATGTTAGAGAGAAAACACTTCATTCTTTTTACTGGAAAGCTAGATCTTTGCAAGGTAGACTCAACTGAGCATTTGAAAATCAAGGGCCCCAGAAACATAATCAGATTTTTAATTAGAAACATGGAATAATTCTGTTTGGAAAAGACCTCTGGCTATCTGATCCAATTCCCTGCTCAGAGAAAGTCCCTCTTCAAAATTACTGTAGGCTGTTCAAGTCTTTGCTCAGGCCACTTTTAAATATCTCTGGGAATGGAGATATGACAACCTCCATGGGGCAGCCTCTTTCAGTCTTCAGGCACTCTAATTACGAAGAATATTATTCTTGTATCCTGTCAGAATTTTTCTCTGTATGCTACCCATATGTCCATTGCCTCTAATCCTATTGCTGTTTATCACCAGACGTAGCCTTTCTTCGCACTCCCCAGCTATGCTGTTTTTAGAATTTGCTAGTGACTATTTGATTTAGTGAGTAAATACTGTTAAATTAATTAAGTTTTGAGAGATGATTTAGATGATCTGATTTACTAACTTTTCAGGTACTAAATACCTGCACATACTGACATCCATGAAGGGAATATCATCCATAAAAATATATTAAAAATCTCAGTATTTTCATTTGCATTTGCTTATAGCAGTTGTGACCCTGGCATGGGGCATTACCTGTGAATTCATTAGTAGTTGTGTTTATTGGCTTTGCATTACATTTCAAGCCTTTCTTCAAGAAATTTATCCTAAAGAAAGTACAGTCTAGTAATTTAGTCTTAGAATTGCATGTGTCTTCTATACAATTGACGTGAAGAATATGAGCAAATTCTCACTCCCATTCAAAAACCATGAGCTTCACCGTCAATTTTAGTTGAAATAGCACAGGGTTTGCAAAAACTCTTTGTCTTAGGCTGGAGTGAATTTTTTAGAGATATTAAACTGAAGCTCTTATGATAATGAAATCTTTATAATGGATATAGCAAGTGCATTGTCAACATTTCATTTAGAAATCTGTTTTAAGCAGAATGTAATTTCTAGTCTTTTTATCTTCTCACAGTAGTTCTTCTGTCTGTGTATTTACTGGTCATACCTTGACGGAAGATGGTTTTTCTGGTGCATGGATCGCCTTAAAAAAAATAAAAAAAAGTTTATTTGAATCTAGAAAAGTTAATATTCCCACAGAAATTATTTTACTCATAAGCTCTCATTATCACCATATACATTAAAGTTTGCTTTGCCTTTAGGAATATGAGATGAAATTATTACTTAATGCCTGGTAAAAAGTGTATGGTGCAGGAAAGCATAAGTAGGAAAAAAAGCAGGCAAATGATTGTTTACCCCCCTCAAGCTAATCAAAATTCCTATGTAGCTGATTTGTCTGCGACCTCCGATTTGCATAACCCCATCAAAGTTTCCTAAGCTTTTGCTTTTTATTCCCATTAAGTACATTAATTTTCAGCATTTTATTTAATCTGCCTTTAGCAATTTAAGATCAGCAGTGGTACTGATTTCTGAAACATTCTATAGTGTGATTTGCGTTAATGCATGTTTGTACACGTGTTAACTGTTTTAGTGTATTTTGCTTTGAAATTTAAAAGTGTTCAAAACTGTTTTTATTTCTTTGTTTATTTCACATCTCTTTGTTTACTGTGCTTTATTTGGAATTTATTGCTTTGCACTTCATCCAGAACACCTTGGACAGCATGCAGGTATTTTAGGGCATAAATTCTCCTTTCCCTGTCCTGAATCCTGCACTTTTCCCTTTAAAATGAGAACAATAGTCCTGCCTAACCTTGCATGGGATGTGTGCTAGAACCATTGTTATGCAAGCATGCTTGGCATTTATTTGCCTCGCCAAATCACCAAAATCAGGGTTTTTTTTCCTGCAGGAGATTAATCTTCAAATATGGCGTGATTTAATGAGAACACAGATACTGATTTTGCAAGTTAATTTCTTATGAGCATGCCCAGTAAGAATGGTTTGATAGCTTATTCAAGATTGTAGCTTTCTGACTGTGGATTTTGTCTGAATTCAGATTGTTAATACAGAGATAATTTTTTGCGCTGTTTTCACGTGAGATTGATTTATTGAGCCACCCACTGAAAGCTGTTGCTCCTATGTAAACAGTTAAACTATGAAGCACTATCTCTGTAGCAGAATGTGTGAGGTAATCTGAATTCAAGCCTGTCCACCTGGAAAGTTGCTCGTTGTCTCATCTGTCTTGTGTGAACAGTATCAGTCTTGTAATGGGCGAAGCCTGCTTCATTGTCCCTTGAAGAAGCTGTTTTAGAAATAGCGCTCTGTCTTATGTGAGAAACTGAGCAAGACTGTATGGGCAGAGCCATGATACACAATAAAAATTCCGTACTTCAGTACTCGCCCTGCGGTGCCGTACACGAGTACATAGATTTTCCACAGTGAGTGAGTCCGGCCGGCTGACAATGAACCAGGCGTTTGCCTGAAGTCAGGAAACAAAAATAGATATGTGGATGGCTCCTGTTAGTACTATGGCAATTACTTCTTTATGTATTACTAACTTTGTTCTCACTTCTAACTCACAACCTTGATTCAAAAAAGTAAAGGCCATTTTCCTCCAGGCTTCATACTGTCGTGTGAGAACAGCTTGAAGATTCTAGTACTCAAAAGAAAATTCAAAGAAAGCATATATTGAAAGGCAAAGAGTTTTAAATTATTAAATAAGAATAATTCGTTACATTCATATTTTTTCAAAAATATATTTAAGGCAGCCTTAGTAGCTTGTTGGGGTCTGGATTGTGATGTTTTTATTTTTTATTTTATGCTAGAGTTTCCATAACTGCCTGTGGAAAGGTCAGTATATATTCTTAGAGAGTTGAATAGCTCAACCTTAAATTGTCCATTAGGAAAAGGGGATCTAAAAACCTAAACCACTTTACTGCTTTGTTTGTTTCTTTCTAAAAAAAAAAAATTTCTTTCTAAAACTGTACATAGATGCCTTATTCAAGCAGCAACTTAATAAGTAGCAAAGCCTTGCAGTTTGGTTGCTCAGAACCACAGTGAAAAGATGAAAGACAAAAAACAAAAATCAAAGCATTTAATGTTTGTGTAAAACTCCCACAATGTCTCTATATCTTATTGTTTTCTGTTTCATAGTCAGTCAGATAGATACCTTGAGACTTCTTTAGCAGAACTAGATTCATTTGTGCTTTATCAATGCAAAGAAATTCACTGCAGCTTTAAAAATGTTTTTGTTACCAAAAAAGGAACAAACAGTACCCCCTTCTGTAGCTGGAAATTTAGATTTTTATATTCTTCTGGGGACTGTGTTTTGATCATCTTTAGCTGTGCTAAGATCTTTTCATAGGTGTATAGGCGCATACACCTGTATGTACAGGTATATGTATGTTATGTTGTCGTTTTCTTGGTATGTAATATGTGCGGTTTTTCTTACATAAACTAAGAACATTGTTCTCTTTCAGGAAAAAGGAACCGTTAGTACAACTGAATGAATCTAAATGATATCCAGACTTCCTTTGGTAGTACAGTTGTTTAACTAGGCATACACAATAAAGGGGGTTTTAATGAAGGAAAACAATGTTTGTTCATGATAAAGCACCAGGCAAGCATTTGCTTTTCATGCAAGAAGCCTGGCACTGCCTTGGGTGAGGTGTTGCTGCTTGCTGCGTGTGGGTCGCAGCGTGTAAGACACGAGTGCTCCCTCCCCAGTCCCCAGGGGGTCTGGCACCTTTCCCGAGTACAGGGCAAGTGTGTGGCCCTACGTGACAATCGCGCCTCCCATGAAATTCTCAGGAGCTTTGCTCGTTCTTCAGCCTTTACACCAGCTGTTCATATGCTCCTTCCTACCTCTCTGGGCACTCTAGATTTGTATTTTATCTCTTCAGGAGTATCTGATACCGTATGAAAACAGATATACAGGCTGTTTATAAATACAAATTGAAATCTAAACGCATTATTTTGAAAATGTTGTTATATCCTGAATTTAGTGGGTACAATGAACGTGCAAATTTGGATAAAAGGTTTTCTTCATGCTTTTCACTACTCTCATGTATGTTTTGAGTAAAGGTTGTAGAATAAATGCTGACTTCTCATGCCTTTCTCATGCCTTTCAAAGCCAGGAAATCTTTCTTTTCCATCACCTCATCTGTTTTTTCACATCAGGAATTCATAAACCGTATGTAGGCAAATTTCCCAAGTCAGCATAGAAGCTTATCTTTCAAGTTCTGTTTTGCTGAAGCCTGATGCTGCAAAATTAAACCAAAAATGTTTGCCAGCGATGACATTTTGGTACTTCTCACAGGCTTACAGACAATCTCCTCTTGGCTGATGTTTGAATTACTTCTCTGTGGCTTGGCATGTATAGTTAGGGGTATTATTTTTGAAAGGGAATTCAGCCAGTAGCTAGGCCTACATTCTGCACCAACCACCATGGAGGTTTTCTTGGTTTTTCTTAATATATAAATGTTAATCTAGTAATTCAGCAGGCTTCAACTTAATAGCGTAGGATGGGCAAACCTCAGAAGTATACTTGGGTTTTAGGAAAAAGTTGGAAAAGCACACAAAACCAACATTCAAATGTGTATAGAAGTCACAAAGCTGTAAGATCTGTTTGCAGGTGTTCTTGGCTGTGCTTTTTTAATCACTGTCAAAAAACACGATGAGAAATTTCCCCTTTGGAAATCAGGGAAGAAAGGAGTACTTAGTTCAGTATTACAGGTCTGGAGAAAGGTTTTGTTCTGAGTATGAGCGAGAAGTTAAGGGGAGAAAAGTGGGATTGTGGGCCTTTTTATCCCAAATAGTTTGCCTATGCTGGCTTCCTGGTACTTAAGAAGAATCTGAGGCAGTCACCGGTCATTCTGATCTCAGTCAAATGTCTGTGCTATCTTTCACGTGTGCAGGCCAAGGTCCGAGAGCTAGAGGAGAAATGCCGGACACAGAGCGAGCAATTTAACCTCTTGTCCAGAGAACTGGAGAAGTTTAGACAGCAAGCAGGGAAGATTGACCTCCTGAGCAGCAGCACGGTGGCATCCTCAGATATTTCTGGTTCTCCCGGTAAATCTCTATCCCAGTTAATGAATGGAATAGCAACTTCTATAGGCAAAGGTAAGGACCAGCATTTTATTTGTACGTATCTGTTCTGCCCTGTGGGTTTTAAGATGCAACTCAATTATGTAAATAGGGTTTGATTGTACAAATGGAGAATAGAATTCACTCCTGTTCTGTTTTGTGACTTGTTCAAATTTCAGAGTATCTCTTCAGCCTTCGCTGAGGTTGTTGCAGTTTTATTCAGGCACTACTGTGAGCAGAATTCTAATTGTTGTTAGGTGTAGAGATTAGAAACCTGTTCAGTGATAAAATGATGCATTGCTTATGTAAATATCTACTTCTCTTGGAAGAAGGAAGATTGTCTGCATATACAGGCTTTATTGTAAAACCTTCACTGTTTCAGGCCCAGGAGCAGGTCTGCTATCTTGTTGAAGCAGCAGGTCATGGGGAAGGAAAGCATAGAAACCTCTCACTGCATTAGCCACCAATAACAGAAATTTGTAAATACATCTGGGCAGAAGATGTGAAAACTGAATGGAATATTTTGACAAACATGAAAATATTTTTGGTTAAGTTGCATTTGTTCAAAAGAAAATAGGTACTTCTCCATAAAAACTTGAAAGTAAAACATTAAAAAGAAATTAATGGAAGCAAACTCTGTTTACACAAATACAAATTCTGTCATAAAGTCGTTTTAGTTGGAGAGGATTTTCATAGGATGTTTTTGAACAGAACTGAGTAGGGACAGTACCTACAGTTGCTTACTAAACTGTGCAAAGGTATGTTCAAAATTTTGTGTTTAAAATAGTATTTGCATGTTTAACTGCCAGGTGTTTTAGAAACAGAAAAGTCACAACAAAAATACTGTTGATTTGAGTTTTGTTCTTACACTTACAGTGCTTAGTATCTTCCACATAGTATATATTTTTCCAGGATCTGTGTTGAACTGTCACCAGGTCATCTGTTGCCAGAGGCATCTGCTCCTCCTAAGTGTCGTTGTTAACAGTTCATTATACATTAGAAAATAGCAAAGATCGAGGCAAGAGGTTACTTGAGGACTTGAAAATAGCTTACATGTTAATCATATGTCAGATTGTGTGTTACAACACTGAGGAGTGTGCTGACCAGCTCTGCATCACCCATGCTAGATTGACTTTAACTCCTTGTTCTGCAAAGAACACTTGTCAGGTAATTTCTAGTGCTTACAGATTCCCCCAAAGTAGTTTTAAAATAAGTATGAAGAGGGACCAGAAAAATGAAATAGCCTTGACTTTTTTTTTTTTTATTAAATCTTCCTAAGCTTCTAGAACAATTCTGAGGCATAGGGCCTAGAAATCACAAATTATTTCCCTATCGTTACAGATGAGCAGTTATTTTCAGTGAAGGGTGCTAAACTCAATGTGAAACCAAGTCAAAAGGAACCAAGGTGACATCCTTCCTTCATTTCACTTCACTAACTTTGTATTTTGTATGCCTTGGATTTTTAAACACAAAATTCGAGCTGCTTGCAGTCTTGCCCACTTTAGTGCATGTTAGGTTATAGGCTTTTCTGGAGCTGCAAGTCTTACCTAATGGGTATTGAAGTGCTCTAAATTCAGAAGGCTTTACCTGGTAGCTGTAAGAATTTAGCAGAAATTTCTTTTATATCAGCAGGATTAGCTCCTCATGTCTCTAAAGACAGCATTTTCAAAGCAACAATTAATTGTAAAGGAAAGGTAATTAGGTGTTGAAATGTGCTTTAGGAAACTAGTGAAGGTCTTGTCTGTATCTCTGGAATATCCTCAAATAAAAATAAATTAAACTTTTTTTTAGATCCTCAGTCAAGTTCTCCAAACTAACTTTTCTTTATTCTTGAAATACTAATGACAATGGCTTTTTTTTTTAAAAAAAAAAACCCCTCAGAACATAACAAACAAATCTTCAAAGAAATCCTTCACTAAAACCAAAGAAAACACAGCTAGGTCTGTAGTAAAGTAATTTCAAGGCTTTCCTCTGTAAACCTTTTCTTATAATCTATTGATTTTTATGAAATTTGCAATTCAGGGCCTGCAGCACTAGTGTGTAAACATCAGAAATCCTTGGAGAACATTCATTCTCAGTATGAATGCATTGATAACAATAAAATAATATTTGAGCGAGTGGGCAGGATTTGTTACTTATTGAAATCAGCCATTTCACAGTAATGATGGTAATGCTACAGCAAGTTCTTCAAACCAGAAGTGTAATTATTTTTATTATGTGTGAGAAAGAAAGAACACAAGGGGGAACACAAGGACAGCTTTCAAAGCAAAGCAAGTGACGGAAATGAGATCAGTTTATGACCAGCTGCTTTGCCTTAATTGGTGATGTTTGAATGTATCAGGAAATGAAATAAACCTAGCCAGAATAGATTAGAATGTAAAAAGGTCACTCTAAACATATAATAATGTCAAAATCAGATGTAGAAACCCCAAGATTTATTATTCATCAGATAAAAGGCTCATTTAAATGGCCTCTCTAGATAATTTAGGGAGCCCATAATGAATCAGCGGTTCCAATAAATAAAACGGAGAATCTGATTGTATTATGGCTACAGCCAGCTTTAATTCTGCTGAGATACTTAAATTAAGGTGCTCTTCTTTGAAAGGGTGTTCTTCAGACTTCCTAATTTGCCAGTCATGGGAAGATAAAGGCCATTTTGAGCATATATGGATTTTATGAGACTTTACAGACAAAAACCTGTGGCTTTATAAGGTTATTCTCTAGTATTTAGAGGGAAAAGAGGCATTTCTAGAAGCTGCTGTGCATTCTTACTAACTTGTATTCTTCATTTTTAACTTAGTTTTTTCCAGAGTGCAAATATAAAAGTGCCATTTATTTTCTTAGTTTCCAATGAGTTAGGAAATTTTAAAACAATCTTTATAGGTCTGATTCCTCAACATTCTGTTGTTCAAGCCCAGGGACATCTCTGAAATTGCCTTGGATGAACAAGAGACCCTACTTTGTAATCACTACTTAGTTTGGCAGTGAAGTTAAGCAAGTTTTTAAATGCTGCCATTTTTATCAGAACTTTATAGGAACTTCCTGCTAACATTGTATGGTATAGCTCACCCCAAAATCTGTTCTTTACAATTTATTGCAGATATTAGAATACCTTGAAAATACAGTAATTTTTAAGCTGCTTTAAGAAATTGGTCACACTGTGGTCGCAGATAAAAGCAGTCCTAGAGCATGGGAAAGAGCCTTAGAGGATGAGCTTCTGTTACTTCACACACTTTTTCATAAAGAGACAGGAGCTGATGGCCCCTGGTGCAGGTTGTACTGAGCAGGGAGATGTTGTATTGCATGAGTAGCCAGATGAAGAAACCGAGCATGCTGAAGGTGGCAATAAGTCCATTTGGGAAGACATTTTGCATTTTGCAGATCTAGATTTGGGGCAGAAGCTGTATTTCCACATACATTGATGGACAAGTGTATAGACTTACTCAGATGGAAAGCACGATATCGGAACAGGCTGTGTCTAGGTACTAGCACTATCTGGAACCCTCGGTGTGACCACTCACATGATGTAGTTTCAACTACCACACCATTTTCTCTCCTTTGTATTGAGGACTCAAGGTTTCAGAAGTGGAAAAAATCAGACAGTTGAGCATCTTCCAGTGTCTTCATATTCCTCAGGTTCTTGATAATGTGTGTTCTTACCCTGGTTATCATCCTATATGTACGCAAAGCAAGAATCTTTGTCCAGATTTTGTACGCAGTGTAACTAGTTTAATAACAACACCTGAAAAATCCAGGAGGTATGAGACCAAACAGCAGTTTCCTTTGACTGAATAATCACAGTTGGACCAATTATTTATAGGCTTGGCGCTGACAGGCTGACATGCCAAGCACATTAACAGCAAACAGAAGGAGCTAAATTGGCTTAACGGTTCTGAATGGGGATGACTTTTTTGTTATATATGTGAGAAAGGTTCCAAGAATAAAATATGTACCCTTTTTCAGCCTGGCGGTTGCTGTAAGCAAGGCTGGTTGTAATTAATCTTTTGTATGATGACTTGTGTATTTCCCTGCTGTCAATGTGCTTAAACTCTCCTGCTGTAAATGTAATTGATGCAGGGAGAATTAATCAAACTGGACTAAGAAGCACACTAGAAAAGCTCTCTGATGATTTTTTTTGGAGCTTTTTCTCCTCTGCAATATGAATAAAGAAGTTCCACTGATAATTCCTGGTACCATGTGTCTGGGAGGCTTGCAATTCAGTAGCAAAACATTGCTATACAGATTTCGGGCAGAACTGGAGAGGAAATGCTGAACCTACACATATCCAGGGTGTGAAAAATTAGAGCACAGGTTCATTATGTTAATGAGAGAGAGAAAAAAAGAAGGCTCTGTGCATATCTGATTGTGTCAGCAATGCCCTAGACTGTGCCTTGCTCTAAGTTCTGCTGACGCTGCAAGTATAATTAGGCTCAGTTTACAATTTCCTGCTTGTTTTTGTGTGCTTTGAAGATAAACTAAGTGTGAAAGGGAAAAGATATGGAAGTATTTTACATTATCCTGTATTTAGTCTCTTTTGCAGTCTTTGATAGGTGTTCTTTTTACTTGTCTCTCCTCCCTGTTAGCCCTGGTTTTCACTTGCGCCAGTAGGAGGTAAGAGTGTTCAGCTTCTTGTAAGGCTGCCTCATTAGATTTTTTAAATGTACAGTGTAAAATGTCTTTTCTTTTTTATTTTGAAGTGCTTTTAAAAAGCACAATAGAGATATTCCAAAAGAATTTCTGGAGATTTTTCCTTTTTCACAGCCTATGTCTTCTATGTTTTAGAAACTGGAGAGCTGGCACTGTGATCAAATTATGTGGTTTAGTGCTGGTATTAACAAGGAGCTCTTAAGAAATATGAAGCAGGTGCTCTTGGAACGTACTGCCCTTACTGGTTTAAAGCCAAACCACTTCCCTTCATTGCAAAATTAATATCCTGCCAGCTAAATCATTAGCATTTCAGTCACTTTCGTACAAGATAAATGAACAACTTCATTCTGCTTTCCAGTATACAACCCAGTCCCCAAAGGAAATTAAAGGGTTTCAGCAGCAACTTTTTAGCGCTGGGCACATAAAATAGCATATCAGATAACTTCTTCAAAGATATCAAGGTGCTCAAAACAAAGGTAGACTGTTTTTTTATTAGGAGAAACTTTATCTCTGATTTTTTTGAATTAAAATATCTTCACTTTCTACTTGATGTTCCATTACATATTGACTTATATAATTTAGCAAAAGACTGGTAACTAGTACGCCCAGCTACTTTTAGGCTCTGCAGTCTACCTACATTAGTCTTTTTCTGGAGTTATTTCCAACAGGAGGAGAGGATAACGCACTGCTGCTTATTAGCTGAGAGTGTTTCTGCTTGGGAATAATTACTTATTCTCATATGTTTTTTATTCACTGCCAGGTCATGAAAGTCCTTCTGGAAGTCGTTGTGTAATCTCAGAATTTATACGACCCCTTCAAATATCTGGAGACAAACCAGAACAATTGTCTGTCAAACCTACATTCCTATCCAAGTCGAGATCTGGTTCCCCAAGATGCAGATTTGATTCAGACGTGAGTCTTTTTAAATTTGTTACTGAAAATGTGTGTTATAGGGCCAAGTCTTCTCCGGAGAAGCAATGCAGGTTGATCCACCTGCTTTTTAAAAGTCAAGACATGAATGTTCTCATTTTCTGAGATAACGTGGGAACATGACCAGTGGGAATTTAACTGATATTTTCAAAGAAGTCCCAGCTGATATTCTAGCTACACAGCAAAAAAAAATGGGTGTCTGAGAGCCTCAAGCTCCTGTGAAAACCTTCGATTTCATTGGTGACTTCAGAGCGTTGTACTGCTTCTGTGCATAAGAGGTTTAAGTCAGCATTTCCGTCTGTGCCTGTTTTGATGTATGTCTAAGTTCAGTGGGTTTATAATTATTTTATTATACCTACCAAAAGGTGTGACTTTGATGCACCATTCAACTTACAGCATGTATTTCCTTGTACCTTCGAAAAGTTCTGTCCTTCCTTTCTTAGAAAGGTTTTCTGGTTTTCAGTAGAATTCTCGTAGGAAGCCAATAGGAAGCTCAGGAGCGCTTTACAAAGGTGCTGTAGCAATTTGATCATTGATATTTGAGACAAATGTTAAATATAAGGAGGTATAGGAGACATTTTAAATACTCTAAGTCTGTTTTATATAGGCCAACAGCTGTGAGGAAGTGGTCTTCAAATTTTTTCCCTCACTTTAGTCCTGAATCCCATTCTTAATCTTTACAGAAGTAAATAAATTGAACCTGTGAGCATATTTTCTATCTATATTATATTCATTGCTACTGAACCTGTGGAAGCTCATAGAATCAAAAAGTTTTTTAAATGGATCACAATCCTAAGTATTGTGTAGGATATTCAAAAAAGTATTACACTGTTGCATAGTAGGAATTCCATGGGCATAGTTAAGGATTATCCACAAATAAATATGCATATATTTATTTGTAGCAGCATTACTGAAAAGTGGGAGCATTCATTGCTCTTTTAAGATGACACAGGAAGAGCAGCCCGAAGTAGTCAAACCAGAAAAAGCAGCTTAGCGATGGGACTTAGGGAAGCAGAACTAACAGCAAGGAACAGAACAAGCGCACGTCAAATTTAATTCCCTTTTCCTATTATTTCTGAGTTTATCTCTCACTGAGAATGTCAAGCCCTCTTTTGCAGAATTGTTCATTGTGTGCCTTCTAGAGTGTAATTATGTGATACATACTTACATTATGCAAGCTCACAGAAATTAAGCTCCATTCTTTTTTAGAGGTATCCAAACCCAGGGGGAGGTTGTACAAATAAATCTAAAATCTTTGTGACATGCTCATGAAAAGGTATCGGGGTGACAACCCTTGAAAATTTGCTGTTATCCAGAAATGCTACACAGAGGGAGACACCTCATCGCTGGCTAACCTTCTCCTTCTCACTGGAAGTAGAGTGTTGGCAGAATAATGTGTGTTGTGCTAACCCGACGAGTTAACCCACCTCTTAAGAGTTAACTCAGAGGAAAAGTAACTCAACTCAATATTTTTCTGGTGCATTTTTATTCCATACTGGGAACCAAGCAGGGGCTAGTTTAGGTCTGAGTGCAGCAGTTCAATATTCACTCTGTCCAGATTATAAAATTTTGGTTAATATTTGGACAGCTTATATTATTTGGTCTCACTGTTAATCTTAGTATTTCTGCCTTAATTGAAGATCTCTCAAGCTCAAGTGAAAAGTTGTTTATTTTTCCTAAAAGGGTTCGCAGTGTCCTGTAAACTAAGCGGAAAGAAGTGCATCTCTTGCTTTAAAAGCACTGCTAGGCTTGGAGAAAGGGTGAAATCCAACAGATGCTGCTGCAGATTGGATTCGATTGGCAAGAGGATATATTTTACATGATACTCGTTGTTTCCAAGTGTTTGGAAGTTGACACTTGTACCAGCTTTAAACTTAGCATTTGTCTTAAGTACCTAGTCACTAGCATCACGTTTCTACTATTGTTTTCTGAGCCTAGGTTGTCTGTGTGCTCATGTAGCTGTACTATGGCCAGGAACATGAGGCATATCACTTACAACGGCTCATCTTGGAGTAACTCAGTTTACTATGCTTTAATGAAGACATTAGTAAAAGCTTCGTCAGGAAAGTGAGGTGGTCAGTGAGACTGGTATGGTTGAGTCCTGCCTGTTTTTTCAGTCAGCAGCATGAAAGGGAGTGGTGTGGTCAACACAACATCTCCTCCAGCCACTGACCAAAGGGCAAAGCACAAGGCTAGCTTTTGAGGAAAAACAAGATCCGGTCTCAGACTGAATCTCTAGCAAGATGTCAAGAATTTACCTCAACTTCTTTGCCCTGTTAGAATTGAAATTGCAGTTCCTTTTTAGCCTAAGCCCTTCTAAGTCACATTAACCAGGTAAATTCCAGTTTAGAATTTTATTTATTTTTAAATGTTGCATGTTTGCTGTCTATTTTATATTGCCTGTCAGGAAAACAGTGCATGCGTCTTTTTGAAATCACATTGTCTTTTTTTTTTTTTTTTAATCTACAGATGGATAATGATCAGAATTCCAATACCTCAAAGCAGAGATATTCTGGGAAAGTCCATCTTTGCATTGCCCGTTATAGGTAAAAAACCCAGCTCATTACATATCTAATACGCGTTTGTAATATTCAGTATTTGGTTTTGCTTCACTTTTATTCATGCACTGAATTATGACTTGGAACCAATGTTACAAATAGCAGACCCCTTTCCTGTGTGCACTGGCTGCAAAGCAGTGCCATTTCCATGTGCTTTAATTGTCAGAGAAATTTGCCATGGCACGGCTGTTTTTTGTATTCCCTGTATTTCTAGCCTTCAATGTCTAAATGAGATCAGAACACGTACCTTGTACTTTATAGAGGATACCTCAGTCTGTTCTTGTAACTTGCTTTTTCATCAATGCAAGAAAGATTTAAAAGTTCCTTACATCTCTGCTTTGCACATTAAAATTTCAGGTATAAGGTACTGTTGTGATAAAAATTTCTGTTACTAACAATTTCTTTCAGGATGGATATGGATTTAAATAACTTATAAGAAGGTTTTGTCTGTGAGAAGGTTGTTTTAGCCCTGACTCACTGTTTTTTACTTTATTTAACTTGTCTGTGTTGAAGTTAATAAACTTGTGTAAAAAACTGCCATATAAAAAAAAAGGAATATGGGGACTGGAAAAGGCCTTCACAACTGAGTTTGCTTTAATTCACTTTTAAAAATAAAGAAGATTTTGACCAGTGTATTCAAAGAGACTCGAGTGAGAAGTGTGTGAGTACAGAAAAGGATGTTGGTTTGAAGTGTTTAGCACTCAAGTGCATAGGCTGTGTTTCATGGCAGCCTGTTGGTGATACAATTAGAGTTCACAACAACAAACTGACCTAGACTCCACAGAGAATATATGTTTCGGAAGGGAAGCAAGAAGATTGAACTGAGGAATTGCCTTTGTGTCCGATCTCAGAACTGTACACCTTTTTCTGCTCTGTACTCCAATATGTAGAGCTTGTGAGTGAACATTTCAATCTGTGCTCCATTGCAGTTACAACCCTTTTGATGGACCAAATGAAAATCCAGAGGCAGAGCTCCCTCTTACGGCAGGAAAGTACCTTTATGTGTATGGAGATATGGATGAAGATGGGTTTTATGAAGGTATTTTTTTTTCATCTGTGAATTATTGCTAATTCATGCAGATTCAAATCAGTTCATGTGTCAAACATGTTCCCGATTCTCTCCTTCATCTACTACCAAATCAGTTGCTAAAATTACCCCTATCATCATTGTGTTAATTAACAGAGTTTCTGCACTAGCAAAGCCGCTCCTTGCAGGCAAAGCTAATTATAAGATATTTAATATTGTCAGCTTTTCCTACTGGTAAGATTTAAGTTGACAAGAAATCTTACTGAAAGGTCTGGGTTTTGCCTCAATGAGCCTTTACATTCTCAGACTGTGAATGTTGTTTATGTGCGGTTTACATTTCTATGTTATCTTGCCCACATGCGGATTTTAATGGCATTGTTCTTTCTCACCAGGGGAACTTCTAGATGGACAAAGAGGACTAGTCCCTTCAAATTTTGTGGATTTCGTTCAAGACAATGAGACCCGGTTATCAAGCACATTAAGCAGTGAACAAGATCAGAATTTTATCAACCATTCGGGTCCTACTTTGGAAGGAGATCTCTTGGAGATAAGTCCACCAAGTCACAAAGACTCTAGTGTAATCAGCAATGGCGCAGGGACTCTGGATGTGAACATTGATGAAATTGGAGAAGACATTGTGCCTTATCCTAGAAAAATCACCCTTATTAAACAACTAGCCAAAAGTGTCATTGTGGGCTGGGAGCCACCGGTAGTGCCACCCGGATGGGGAACCATTAGCAGCTACAACGTTCTGGTTGACAAAGAAGTACGGATGAACATAGCCTTGGGAAACAGAACAAAAGCTCTTATAGAAAAGCTTAACATTTCTACTTGTACATACCGAATATCAATTCAGAGCATTACAAACAAGGGTAACTCAGATGAACTGCAGTGCACTTTGTTAGTTGGGAAGGATGTCATAGTAGCCCCCTCTAATCTTAAAGTGGACAATATAACCCAGATTTCGGCTGAGCTGTCCTGGCTCCCTACAAATAGTAATTACAGTCATGTGATCTTTCTCAATGAAGAAGAATTCGACATTGTCAAGGCTGCTAGCTACAAGTACCATTTTTTTAATTTGAAGCCCAATATGGCCTACAAGGTGAAGGTCATGGCAAAGCCCCATCAAATGCCCTGGCAGCTTCCCCTGGAACAACGAGAAAAAAAGGAAGCCTTTGTGGAATTTTCTACATTGCCAGCAGGTTTGATGTTTTTCTCCCTATCTCAAAACTCTCCAGCTGAGTTTCTCTGAAAATACTAGATAAATTAATTAAACCTTCAGCTTTATGCTGTAATCTCTGTCACTTTCATGGGCAGATGGAGGATCATTAGATTGCTTTGTGGTATTTATTCCTGTCCTGCAATATTCTCTTCTTTGTTCCTGTGTAAGGACTGAAGTGGTTTTAGGAGATAAACTAGTGAAAGCCTTGCTTATCATCATCACAGGTCACACGCTAAGTGTTTTATCAGATTAATCTCCATTTGTATATCATTTGTCCAGTTATAGTATTTCTGGTAGTAATTCATTTTCATTAGTGTGAACAACACTGAGAAAAAACACTTACTAGACATGTTATTTGTATGTTATTTGGGTGTCTTAAAGCACTTTTACACAGATGATCCAGTCATTTTCTGTAATGAAAAACAACAGGGCCGTGTTTCAGGAGCACACAGTCATTTAGGGGATGTAAATACATTTTGGTTGTGAAGTTGTAATCGTATTGTACAACTGAATTTGTAAAGGTGACAAATTGGTTGTGTTTGGGAAAGTCTGAGGTTTTTTTCCTCGCCTTGCTGTTACGTTAGGAATGTCAAGTGTTACCAGTCATTTCCCGGTATTTAAGAACAGTGAAGTAATGTTGAAAACTAGAGCAGAAATCCTGTGTGTTTAAAGGATAATCTCGTCATTTTGGAGGTGTATGGCAGTACCTAAAAACATGAACGTCTCTCCTTATAAATCCGTCTAACCAAGGTTTTCTAATCAAGGACAATTAGAAGATTCCTTGTATATTCAGACTTTCAGAATGCCTCGGAAACAGGAAGAGTCAAGTACAAGTGACTCTCCTGGCAAGTGAAATTTCACTAGCGTGTGCTGTGTTATAGCTTCACTGATTCCCTCCTGGGGTTTGATTAGTTAGTTCTGGTCTCTTCCTTGGCTTCCGTGACTTATCTGTGAGGAGGCAGGCAGGACAGCAATGCTGGTTGAGTAGAAAAGGAATTCAATTTGTACGTCTGCTGCTTTTGATGCTGTTGATTTATAGTTTCAGTAAAAATGTTCTCAGCTCAGGCATTTACTCTTGTCTTAAATCATTTCAGTGAGTTAAGTGGTAGTGCTATTTTAAAATCTCCGAGGAGGGGGAGCATTTTAAATTTTGTATATGTTCTGTGGCAGCTGAGAGATACTGCCTAGATGGTTGCTTGAACTGATTAGATACATTGACTTCCTTGTATTTGGGAAAGGTCTTTTGAGTGAGGTTTTTTCAGGCCAAACACTTAACATGCTGTATCTCCCTCTAGTCGCTGCAGTATGCTAAAGCAATAAATGAGCTGTTCTTAGTTGAGGAGCTGAAATGCAGCAGAGCCTCTGCTTTTAGATCCAGAGATCCCAGAGTCTTCCCCCCCACTTCATCTCACAGAGACCATTTTTACAAAACCATTTCACCTTTGCACTGTTATATAGCAAAATCAAATGCAACTGTTGAAGTCATTAGAGGCTGATGTTTGTATTTCGAAAGTGATTGAAACAAAGAGAAAGGGATGTCTATGAAATCAGAGTCACCAATGGGAGTTATCATCACAGTATCGTGGTTTTGGCTTGCAAATAGTACTGGCTTCAAGTAATCACGTCTCTTCTTCCAAACTACAACTAAAAGAAAGAGAAAAATAGATAAAGTTTTTTTAATGTAACTAATACTGTTTTTTCTCTCAGACTCTGGATTATTTTTCCACCTTAAATACCTTGCAGTTTATCTGCATTGTAAGAGCGTATTTCAAAGATGACTTTAGAGCATGCTGAGAGAGCAATACAGGTATTCTGTGCGAAGGGACTCTTCTGTTATTGTGCTTCTTTAGGGGGTGAGTGATGTCACATAAGGGTTTACGTGTGGTGAATGTCAGGTTTAGCACGCAGTGCAGCATGAGCTGCAATACCCCTGGCCACAGGCAGCTGCTGATGTTGGTGTTGACATTTTTCAGGGGGCTCCAGAAACATTCACAAATGAATACATGTCCTTGCTTCATTCGAAGCTGAGAAGCTCTGCTCTTTACTGCTCAGTTCAGTGGTATCCTTATAGAAAAACTACTTTGAAAAGGGAATGGGGGTCAGTGAAATTTTCACACTGTATCAATCTCAGAGTTTTTTTAGGAATACATTCAGCAAAACATGAACTTGAGATAACTTTTCATACCTCAAAGCTAGAGAGAGCAGTTGTATAAAAAGTACAGGACAATTAGAGGTCACTTTTTCATTTTTCTCTTTGCATAGATATATCATGTTTTGCATGATTTGTACTTGAAAACACGTTGCTTCCTGTCGGACCAAAGATGAGTGACAACTCTTTAGTTTCTGAGCAGTTGAACCCCTCTTCTTGATTCATCAAAGCATTAGACTTGCTTAAGTTAAAATAGTTCTCTTTTCTCTTTAAGTTAAAAAGTTCTCTTTTGGGTGCTCAGATCTAAAACCAGTCATAAATATTGACAGGATAGGAACCAATGGGACTGTTATGGTTTTTGAGCTAATTTAAGTAATAAATTAATGAAGACCAGACTGTAGCAGAATTCCGAAAGAAACATTTATGTTCATGACCAAGACCATCAAAAGTTATCAAGTAATTTCCCATTTAATAATGGGGGTAAACAGAAACTGTATTAAGCCTTGGGCATTATGCTTTATAAAAGCTATCTCTGCTGTAGCCTGTGAAGGTCAAGATAGACTCCCTGGGGACTGTTTGGTTTTTGGAGGTGACTTCTCCTGCAGGAGTAGATTAATGTCCTTGTCATTGGCAACACACTGGACTAGACCAGATGTATTCTTTTTTGTAAGCTGAGGAGCTTTGCTGGATAAAATGGGATGGTCAGAGAAGCTGAAATTCAATCCTAAATCAAATTCTACATATTGGCCAGAATAATATTAGGTCAGTTTACACACTTTGGCCTTTCAAGTTTAAAATACGTTATAGATGCAGTAGATGGTGTAGGCAAAAATTTCATGTTGTGCCTGTAGCGTCCTGAGCATGACCAGAATTTTATATCCTTGCCCACCAGAGGATGAAATTCAGTGACAGCAAACTACTGAAATGCACTGATCATTTGCCAGCATATGTGGAGGCTGAGGCTTGTGTGATATTTACACTTGTATCATGATCTGTTTGGTAGCAATGAATGCACACAGTTAAAATATTTGTAGCTTTTTGGTAGATGAACAGAAACTGGTTGTGCCTAGTTCACTGGCAAAAGCAAACTCACAGCAAGCAAGGTTTGTGTTCTCCCAGCGATTAAGCAGAGATGGATGCAGGTGAACCCTGCTTCTCAAATGTTTTAGCATGAAACACTTCTCAGGGTTTGACTGTTAAATTAACTCAACAGGATGCCTGAAATATTCATGAGCTAATAATCTCTATGATATTTTTACTTTGACTTTCTGTCCAAAGTAGAGCCATTTACAATAGAATAATAGTGTCTTTTAATTAAGGATGTATTTGGTGTGCTACTACACTTAGTTACTGTAAATGCCTTAAAAGATTAGTAGGTATATTTTTTTCTTCAGTGCAGAGAAAAGACTTTGAGTCCAGTTGTCCTTTAAACCACCATGATGACTGTTGAAAAGGTTAAAGTTTCAGCCTGCAGTCCACAATGTGCCTTAGTGTCAGTGGGCTTCTTGCCTGTAAATTGTGACCTGGAGCCACTGATGGTCCAGAGAGACAGAATTTGAAAGTGATTTCTGAGTATGTAGTGTGCATTCGGTTCAGAGATATATACCAAAAAGTCCCTTGCTGTCACCTGCAGCGGTTTTCCACTAGCGGTGCCACTCCTGGGCCTTTTTCTCCCTATATTTTTCTGTTAACATCGTCTGCATTCAGAGTAAGTAGCAGTCATACAGCCTGGAGGGATAAAAGTAGGCTAGAGCAAGTTGTAAGTACAGATCATCTTGCAAACAAATGTGGCGTAGTTAGTGGCTGTACGCTGAGGGTCAGTTCCTGGCTCCATGGCCCGCTGAGCCTGTGCTTCTGTTTTATGTAATCACTGCAGGAAGGAAATTTTGTCGTCTTTTTAAAAAAAATAAAAAAGTGTGAAAAGTGCTTTGAGATCTGTCACTTCCAAGTTGCAGGTGTACCAGTTGATGTACATACTTTTGATCTAAGGCTCAAGAGTGACCAGGTTTCTCTTTCTTAGGTCCTCCAGCTCCACCTCAAGATGTTACCATACGGGCTGGGTCCACCCCTGCAACCATACAGGTGTCCTGGAAACCACCAACTCTGACAGCCACAGGGACCTCCCATGGCGCCAGCGTCACAGGCTATGGGGTTTATGCAAAAGGTCAACGGGTGAGTTCTCCTTCCAGCATTGTGGTGAGCACCTACATTAGGTGAACTTCAGCTGACAGGTAAAGACAACTATGTGACAGCACTTGAATGTTTTCTCACCTTTCAGTGAAACCTATTTTTTGTTTGTGCATAACTTGCTCGTTATCTTCCTTTTTATAAGCACTTAGCTTTTGGACAAACGGGTTGAGAAGATTAAAAACAACTGGTGCTCGTTGGTGTGGAGCCCTGCTGTGGGCTCTTGCAGCCCACTCTGTTGGCAGTAATTCACTCCATGTTAAGACTTTGAAGGTTGTACTTCAGTGGGCTTGAGGGGAGGGAGGTGGATGTCTTCATGCTAGTAAATGGCTTGTTTGTGTACTTAGGTGGCGGAGGTGATCTTTCCAACAGCAGAGAACACATTGGTGGAACTAATGAGACTAAGGAGTTTGGAAGCAAAGGAAGTCACAGTTCGAACCCTCTCTGCACAAGGGGAATCAGTGGACTCTTCTGTTGCTGCCATTCCGTCTGACCTACTGGTGCCTCCAACCCCTCACCCCAGAACTGCTCCCAAATCTAAGCCATTAGCAAGTGCCGGAGCCCCAGAAACCAAAGAACATTTAGGTCCACGTTTAAAAATGGATGAGTCATGGGAGCAGACTCGTTCGGCATCCCCTGTTCATGGACACATGCTAGAGCCACCTGCTCCTAACTTTCACGGCCCGCTTCAAGGAAGGAGGTCTCCATCACCTAACCGAATCCTTCCTCAACCTCAAGGCACACCTGTCCCAAATACTGTCGCGAAAGCCATGGCAAGAGAAGCTGCACAACGAGTTGCAGAGAGCAACAGGGTAAAGGCAAACTTTTTCTTAAGGCTTTTTTGGGCTTACTTTATTCATTGTGGCACTTTCCATCAAAGAATTTTTTCATCATTAAGGAGCAGGTAATCATTCCTAAACCCTGAAGATCCGTAGTTTGAGAAGCAGCAGTGTGCTAAAATTCTGTGCCATCTTCTACAAATACTCTTGTAACAAGAAAGAGCATTTACCAGCCTTTGATCAGCATAGAAACCCCATAACTTCAGTAGAAATGTTGTCTTGAAAAATGGAGAACCTTACTTCTGGGGGGGCAGGGGGAGAGGGCAAGGAAAAAAGCAGTAATCATCAAAGTTTGTGTTTAGATCCTGCAGGAGTCAAAAGGGAGGCTTGTGTCGATGCGAGTAAAGTCAGCCAAGTACTGAAGTACTTTAAAAGAGACTAAAACAATAAAGGACAGATTAAAAATGGGTCTGGAAATAGACAGATAGATAGAAGTTCCAAGCAAACTTATGGTGAAAGCTAATTTTTCTGACAATTTACAGAATGAGGACAAAGCCTCACTTCTATAAGGGAATCTAACCAGCAGTCAGATAAGAAATGTGTTTGTATTCTGAAACCATTTGCTTTTTCAGAATAACAAATAGCAGTTTTGATGCACGTAAAGCACTATTTTGTATGCTCAATTTTACATACTTGCCCTTCAAGAGTGCCCCTTTCTCAGTGCTGCACCTTCACAACTGCTTCAGCATAGCTGTCATGTGAAAGCTTTTCATTACAACTCCTTTTGTAGCTGCTAGAAGCATCACTTCCCACAGAAGTCTCCCTGGTTTTGAGACCGTTATGGCCTCTGGCTGCTGTAGCACCTCAAATGCTTGCTAGTTAATTCAAACCCCATACTTGAGACTCTTGGGTCAGCGTAACTGCTGCGTATGCATCCTAACAACATGCTCTGGTTTTGCTGCCCAGGCATACAACATTTAAATGCTTCCAGTGCCCTGGGCAGCTTCCTTCTTAGCTGCTCAGAACTGTCCGTTACTTCTTTCAAACTCTGGTCTCACTTTTTTTCACACATTCTCTTGGTCCTTCATCAGATGGTCATTAGATGTTAGACCTAGTCTTTGGTCTCCCATTGTTATCTCCAGCTTATTGACTGTCCTGGTTTTGGAACAGAATTGAAACAGTGGAAGTCTTTACAGCTTCTGGGAAGCTGAATAATGAATAATTCTGGATTAATAAGGTCTGCTAAATACATATATAAGCATGAGTATATTTCATCGTTTATAAATAAACTGTGATGAATGTAATACAGAAAAGGTAATTAGTTTCTTTAGCACTCTGAAGATGAAAGTTGATTTAACCATGTAGGGAAAGAGAGCTTAAATACTTCTTCTAGTTTTGAAAATTGCTGATAGAACATATGCTCTGAACCATATTAAATTACATTAATTTTAGTGATGCTTGAAATGTTTTATTCAGGGATTTGGGCACAAGTTTACAGATGGATTGACTCCAAATTAGATCAAATTCTGCCAATGATACTTGTCATGTTTAGTCCCCACTAGTAGAGTCTTCCCTTGCAGTTGGTTGCTGCAGAAGCAGCTCTGTGTCTTCTCCCTGCCCTTCATCTCACCTGTGAGCTGGCTGGTGGTTATTGTCATGAGAGTAAGCAACAGAAATCAGTAGTTGAGGATAAGAGTCACCTCAGAGCAGAGGAAGAGCACAAAATCTCATTCCATAGATCTTTTGGTACTGAGGGTCAAAATGCTGTAGGGACGAGGTTGCCGACTAACCCTCTGCCAAGGGGAAACAGTGTCTTCATTAGCAGTCTCTGACTAGAATACTGAGAATTTTGACAGAAGTGATGCGGGGAAGAAAGCTAGCAACTGAGTCGATGGTCATATATAATAAGCATGTAACTGTTCATGAGCGAGTGTAACGTGACAAGTAAAAACTTCTTGACAATTCCTGAAAGGTTACAGTCAGGAGAAGCTAACATTGCTTTAAACCTTAAGTATATTTAAATTTTCTGTTCTTGAGTCCTTGTGTTTTGTATTTGCCATTTCTTCCCTTGGTTGTAGGAACAAGTCTGCTTCAGATTTTCTTTCTATTTTTTTTTTGTTTTATTGTTTTATTAGATGGAGAGGAGGAGTGTTTTTAGCGAAAGGAGTAACGCAGCCCAGTACACTAACTCAGATGATGAGGAAGATGGCTATGATTCTCCTAATGTCAAAAGAAGGGGGGCTTCAGTTGATGACTTCCTGAAAGGGTCAGAACTTGGAAAGCAAGTAAGTAGCCTGGTCTTGTTACTGTGTCAGGTGTCCAACATGAAATAAGTATTGTCTGAAGCTCAGTAGACTATCCAGACCAGCATCTGATTATTGTAGCCGTATTGGTAAACTATACAAAAAAGCAGCTAAATTGTGGGGAGGCAGAGGAACGTCCTGTTACTGGAACACGGCACTGTCCAATGGGAACTGAACGCTTGGCACCTCGCACCTATGGATCGTTATTCGTGCAACAGTCTTAAGCACTGGAAACTGAAAATCTGAAGCTGAAAAAACTGAAATGGAAACTGTAACTGGTATGTCATGTTTGGGCTCTGGGCTTTTCCTGTATAATGCATATGCATGTCTGCATATGAAAACACGCTGCTGGAAAAGGGAAAGGGGGCAGGATTTTTGTGTTCCATAAAAGCCATAACCTGTAATCCTAATTAGCAGAAAACCAACACTGTATATACTTGGCATGCAGCAATGAATTGAAAGATGTTGCCAGAAGAATTTTGCACATCTGCACAGCTTTTAGTCTGATCCCACTGAAAACAAATATAAAGTAATTTATTACATTAATTTCAAGAGAGATGTGAATTGTAGCAAAGAGACGTTTTCTTATGTCTTGGCGTGGTGGAATAATCTTATTAGCTAAAACATGTGACCTCCCACATTGAAGGGTCCGAGCAATGGCATTCCTTCTCAGACCAGTTCTGAGACTTTCTGGAATTTTGGTCCTGTTTATTATAGAAGTTCAAGCATTTATAAATTTGTAAACAGTGCTCAAAATTTCCAGTGTTCTGAACATGTGGCAATTGTGTTATGCTTATAAAATGTGCTTGGGGTGAGATGCATCTGTAGCTGTGTATAAAATTCCAAATATTCTGGACACAAAGAGGCCAAGATTTTCTAACAGGACCTACAATCTTATCAGTGTAAAAAGTTTAGAGTATTTTTCAGAGCTCAGGATCAGCTTCATTTTCCTGATAACCATACTTAACCGCATTTAACCTTTCTCTTGTATTTTGAGGGCAAATCCGTATTCATTTTGGAGAAATTGCTTATTGCAGACATTTTCCTCTCATTGCTGGAACTGATTGATATCAGCGTGTTACGTAGCTGCGGGAATTGATCTGATACCACAGAAATTACTTCTTCATAAGTATTGCTGGGGGAAGGAATGCAGTAATTTCTAGCATTCTAGTACTTTCAGAACATTTATTTCTTCAAACATTCTACTACAATGTGACAGTCAGATGACTCCATTTGAAAATTTGGCCTTGGAAAAACAATGAGTCTTGCTTAGGATCTGATTTGTTTGACAGAGGCCACTCCTATTTAACATGAGCAATTCAGTAGAACTTTTTCCTCCTTATCTTTCAACTACTTGGAAACTTATAGGAACTTGAAATATTTGTACTATGTTTAAAGGACAATTAAAGTTTTAGCCAGTCTATTCCGACAGCATTTAAGAGAATGAAATCTTCAAATTCCATCAGCTATATCCTACAGTGATGGTAACATCCTGCAAGAATTAAATGCTGATCACTTTTAAACTACAATGTGATGTAACAAACAGCTGTGAAGAACAGATGATGTGTGAATTATCCTAGGGCTTGTACAATTTGGTCAGCAAGTCCACTGAAGCATGAAGGACCTCTTTAAATCAAGGGAATTTAATCAAGACTGGAACTAGATTTGGCGCTCTGAATACAGGCATAATTGTTTGTATCACCTATGGAATTAAAATTAGATTTCTTGAATTGGGAGCATAAATGGGCAAAAAATGTATACGTATACGTGATCTCCCCACTAGAACAGACCAGCAGGCTGCATGATGTAATTTTTATGTGTTGGCTAGTGTGATGTTCAAACCTAGGAAATGCTGTGGTCCTCATTGCTGTTGTACAAGGATTTTCGTCTCTACACTCAGTAAATATGTTTCCCTCTCACGCTGTCGATTAGCCTCACTATTGCCATGGTGAAGAGTACCACACAGAGAGCAGCAGAGGTTCTGACTTGTCTGATATTATGGAAGAAGATGAGGAAGAGCTGTACTCTGAAATGCAGCTGGAGGATGGAGGAAGGCGACGAGTCAGTGTGACTTCCCACAATGCACTGAAGGTAAGTGGGACTGCAGAGAAACCTTAGAAGTATCTCCATATTTTGATTCTTTCTTCAAAGCATTTCTTTTACTCAATTATGGATTTTGCAGACCATTAAAACTCACGCTGTCGTACAGACCTAGAGCTGAGGTGAACATTCTTTATGATATCGAGGCTGCTTTATTAATTACTGGGGTTTTTTTTCATTATTTTATAACTAACCTTTTAACTAATTTGCTATTTTTCATGTATGTAATTGTTGAAGTTGCAAATTGTGTTCTATATCTGGGGACCTTTCTCGTGTCTATACGACAATATATTACATGTGCTTCCCAGCCAATGAGTTGTTTCTGAGTGAGGATATTTAAACAAATATGAATAGAAAAAAAAAAAGAAACTTAGGCTTTTCATGCCCGAGCAATTTGTCCCTGTTCCGAGTGCTGTCTCTTCTCCAGGCTTCAAAGCATGCTTTAAAGCTCAGTCGGTTAGAGCTTGGTGCTGATAACACCAAGGTCACGGGTTCGATCCCCGTTCGGTCCCCATGTGTTGCCTGATGTAGTTGAGAGGCGTCCCTGCCCATGACAGGGAGGTTGGATTAAATGATCTCTAAGGTCCCTTCCAGCCCTGGCCATTCTATGATTCTGTGAAAGGGAGTTGGTCAGCTTTGTTTGATATAAATGTGTTATCAGGAATCCCTGTGTTCTGAGTATTAAGGAATCACCAGAGACAGGAAACACCTGTCACAAATACTGCTTTAACACTACACAGGAATATTCATTATGAAAGACAACTTTAATAAAACAATAAAACTATATGTAGAATGTAGAACCTACCCAATACAGAATATATATTTCCCATACTGTATTTGTACATGTAAATTGTATTTGCTTTTTATGTGTCTAGCAATTACACTAAATTGCATTTTCTTAGAATGCTGGATAATTTCAACCACAGGGAAGCCCACAGGTTGATTTTTCTTCCAATATGCTGTTATTTAACTAAAAAACCCAGTACTATTATCTCATGCTTACAAGTTTTGACCATTCTTGTAACTGCTTTCATGTACTATAAATTCAGTCCTTTTATTCCAATACTATGTTGAATAAGATAGATATTTTTTCAAAAGAAAAAATAATCAGTGTTTCTATTATTCTGCTAACATACAGATTGAAACTGAAATCCTTCTGCGTGCTGCTTCTGTCCCTTTCCTCTGCGGAAAGGTGAATTATACCTAGACTGTTCTTGATCTTTATGCATCAGAGAGTATATTTACTCTTCAGTTTTAAATTAGTATGAGTAGTATGGTGATATTTAAAAAGAAAGGTCCAAACCCTTTATTGGTGTAGTAAATCATTTTAGACTGCTTGAAGTCTGCAGGCGTATTTCTCTTGATGTAGTAGAGTATGTGAAGGTAGAGCTGGTTGACTCATTATTCTGCAGAAGTGAAATTCAGTGTATGAGTGCTTCCTCGAGAGAGACTTATGGATGTCTGAGTCTCATTTGGAGAATATGGCCCACCACGATGGGACGTTTTCTGATCTAAAATGCAGGTCAGACTCTGGTCCCAAAGTGTCCAATAATTTTCACCTCTTTCGCTAGATCCAATTTCACTTTGCAAAATCAGTCATTTACAAAAACCTGATAAACTTGTTTACTGAATTTTCCTTAATGTAGTCAGATTTCTGTTCCTCTTGCATCTGCAGGTATGCCAGCCATGCCCTTACAGCTATAATTGAGTATTCTCTCTCGAGTTAATAGACAACCTCAAGTAACAAGAAAGTATTTTGCAGGCAGATATATATTTGTTTTATTGAGAGATTATTATTATTCCTTCCAATGTTTCCCTAGAACAGAGGCTGACACAGGTGATCAAGGGAACATTCTACTCACTTACCCAATGTGAGTGAGTAGAATGTGGGATATTTGAGCTCCAGTCGAAACTATCCTTGCTCATATTTATTGACTTTTTTCTTTTTTACTTCTCTGGCAGTTTGTCTCAAAAGTCTCACAAATGTGCTACACATTTTTAAAATAAATGAAAATAGGTGAACCAAATATAATCATAAAGTAACTGAGAAAGTTCCTAATGCCTGAAAGAGGAAGACATCCAAAACCTAGTTAAGTTTAACACACTTGGAGAGATCGCTGAAGTCTCCAAGATGATCCTGTTATTATTTGTGGGTGCTGTTGTGTCCACAGACCGTCCTGATGTGGACATTGAGTGAAGTACAAGGAGAGGTGATCTCCATGATGTAGAATCTATAAACCATGTCAATCAAAACCAACAGCTCCTGCATAATTTTTCTTGTATCTTCTCAGAGTCCAACAAAGATATTGCATAGGATTCCTCTGTTACACCAACCTATGTTTTGTGTAAATATAATAGAAAAATTACAAAATGTATCTCTCATGTTCAAATTGCTTTTTTTACCCAGGCTGGTATAGTTTTTGCCTACTTCTGATATAAACAGGGACTTTTGCACTATCTTCTGCTAATAGGCTGATTTTCAAATACTGGTTTTATCAAGCAGTTACGAGATTATGATGAGAGATTTGATGACAGTGCAATGATATCAGAGATCAGCCTGCTTCTCAGAGTTCTTTCTGTGGAAGCCAAGGTTTAAAAGTTTTTTTAAAGGTTTTTTTACAATTTTACAAACGAAACTAGAGCTCCTTTAACAATATCTGCAGAATAGCTCTCCTCTGGCAGGAGATTTAGGAGTATTTCCTACTCATATAGGATGCTTCGACAGATGCAAAGCAGGAGGTTTGCTAGAATTTTCATGCTCAGATGTAAGTTCTGGTTACAAAGAAAAATTAAATAGAAATTTGGCATGGGGCAAGGTACATACAAAGCATTAGTGCTGTGTTTTAGTGCCATTCTCATTCACCATGCTGGAACCTGTACACAGCTTTTATTGCTTTCTTTTAAATGCATGGGTTTATTCTTGTTAAGAGCATCGCTCAGTTGTTTGTACTGACCTCTCATGTCATATCTGACACCCAGCAACTTCTTAATCACGTCTTTGTTTTTCACAGATTCTCATTCAAAGCATGACATCCTTTTCACTAAATAAAGCTGCATGTCTTATGTTTGCCATTGCTCTAAAACTAATTCTGTCTTTATTTTTCTTTTCTTCTCCCTTTTCCCTCCCATTTTATTTTTGTCACACACTATTTGTTCCCTGTCTGGTTTTTAACATTACATAATCTTAAGGAGTGCGATAAGAATAAGACCACTGAAGCCACTTTTTTGGAACATCCTGACTTTTCCCAGCAGATACATCACAGTAAAAAGCTTTTCAGTATTCCAGAAGTAGCTGAAGAGGATGGTGAATACTCTGAACTACTATACAAGCAGGGTTTAGGTATGGCCTATAAAAAGAATCCCACAATAGCTAGAGACTCTAGACCACCTAGGCCCTACAATCAAGACCAGCAGCACAACTTCTGGTACCCAGCCAAGCACAGAATTTCAGGCATGGAGGATTTTGCTGCAGACGACAAAGGATGTAAATATAGCCGATCCTTATCAAGAAGCCCAGACAGTGGACTAGACTGTGGAAGTGAAGAAGAAGAATCTCGTTTTAATTTCAGATACACTTGCGATGCAGTTTCTGCCAATGTTGCATCTAGCTGTTGTGCAGAGACTGCTCCCTGTTCCTGCAGGAAGAGCATGAGGCCATTACTTGCTCGCAGGAAAACTTTAACCAGACAAACCAGCATCGAAGAAGATTTTGGTGACCTGGGTCCTTCCTTTGTAGAGCCCAGGAGTGAACAGGTCAAGCCCACTTACGAGAAAAAGTATGACACTCAGAAATGTAATAGAACAGATAATTTGTCTAATGAAGATGTTCAGGGAGGCTGGAAGACCGACTTAAAAATGGGTGACTCTAGGGCAGCTGGTCTACTTGCAAAGCCATCCCACAGAGATGCAGAAGACTCTCTGGTGTGTGAAATAAATCTTCCTTCTAACGTCTGCTTGCCAAATCAGTCTGTTATCTTTCTTTTCTTCTTTCTTTTTTTTGTTCTTTTCATTTTTTTTCTGAATTAATTTTTAGAGTCCATCCTTTGGACCTGTCTGCTACATTTTTCCCCCTTTTTTTTCCTCCCCATTCATTTTTGTTTAGTATTCTGCACTTTCCTTTACAGTCCTCTTTTGTGTCATGCTGAAATCAGTTTAATTTGCTTTACAATTACTTTCCCGCAGAACAAATTAAAATAATGGCTGCTTTTATTAAAGGACAACTGAATCTAAATTTTAATTAAGGGTTAGCTGAACTATAATTTTTCCAAAAGATTGTTTTTCTTTATTTTGCCCATCTAAATGTTGCTTTTAAAAACCGCTACATTTTAACTGGAAAAATATTTCATCAGGTTTTTTTGGTTTTTTTGTCTTAATGTCAAAGAATTCATTTCATCATGTTGTTTTTATTCAACTCATTCCCAGAATTTTCAGGATGTGCTCTTTATCATGAAACATCTCCGGACAAGAATCAAGATTCTCCCCGCAGTGTGACAGTGACCCAGTTTTATGGAGTCACAGGTTTCATCCTATTTCCATTTTCTACTTTATCTCTGCACTGTCACGACTTTGCCTTCCTTTTTAGACCATCTCTTCTTGCCTTTGAAGTTGCAGACTGCATCTCTGCGTGAGAATGCAGGCAAACAGCTTCTGCCAATGGGAGAGGCCAGGGCCATTCCATATCTTTCAAGGATGCCTCTGCGTGATCTTGCCTATTTGCATTTCTGTCCATTAATCTACAGCAGAGTCTCCACGCTTTGATAGATGCATCCATAGGCTTCCCCGCTCCCTAAAGACCAAAGCAAGTTCTTTAACCTCTCAGTCTGCAACAGTCCAGAGTGGAAGCTTCAAATCTAATGTGTTTCATCTGAGAGTAGAAATCAGCTGCCTGCTCTTCTAACCTAGCGGTTTACGCTGCAATGATCCTTAAAAATTTCTCCCGTTAAAATCGATGCCCAAGCCGTATTAATCTCAATGACTGCATGATAAACTCTGGAGAGCGTTAAAACAGTACCATTTAGTTATTAAAATAGCAACATTTTCTGCAAGGGCAGTGAACAGAGACAGCTGTGGTGTGAGACGAAGTGTGTCTACATTCCCTTCTACACGTTCCAGTGACCTTTAAAAGGCTTTAACAACTGAAGGCCATTATAGAAAAGCAGTGTGCTCCGAGACAGAAGGGCGTACACTACACTTGGTCACGTGCTGCAGACCGGACAAAGCTGTGTAGCCGAATAAAGGCTTGGCTTTTCAGGGCAGGCCGGTCTCCACTGGTTGTACTACTCTTCAGGAGATAAAACGTCATCTTAGCAGCAACAACAAAGGCAAAAGAATATTTCAAAAATTATTATTTTCTTTTCTTTTTGTTCTGATGTGTGACTGCTGGTTACAAAACTCTGCCATAAATCAGGGAACCATTTTTTCTTTTGCAGGTTTGCCAGGCAACAGTATTTACTTTTCAGCTAACCTTTCAGTTAAAAACTAAGTTTAGTTGCCTTTAGAGCTTATGCTTCCGAATGTGATTGACCTGATTAATGTCCAACCATATAACCGTAATGTTACCATGCATGTGACTCACAAACCTGTTTTTTCTGTTGTTGTTTTTTAGCTTTTAGGTAATCCATCATCCGCAGGACGGCCTGAGAGGGTGGAGCATGCAGGGCGAAGGTCCTCTCATGGCAGTGCAGTGCCACAAAGGTCTCGACCAATGTTGGTCCCTTCCATTGGTTAGTTGGACAGATTGGTGCATTTCTGTTCTTTGCAGCCTCAGAGTTGGGAAAGCAGTCCTTGAAAAAGAAATAAGAGACACTTGTCTTGAGCTGTGGTTACTCTTAGTTTAAATGGGATGAAATGGAACTAAAAATATCTCCATCTGGGTGTACTGGGGTCTCACAGGGGGCTGAATCAGTAGTCATTGACATCACTGGGAGTCTTTTCATTGAATTTAGTGGGTATTGAAGCTTGGTTAAGCTTAGAACTTACCTGAGAAGAATTTTGAAGGCAGGCTACTATTTGATCCATAAAATAAATGTACCCATTCAGCCATCCATTCAGCCATCCATCCTTCCATTCATCAATCATCATTTTGCATTCACTTTCCATTTTCTTGACTACTTTTTGGAATTTAACAGCAAGAATGGAAGCTGTTAAATGTAACAAGTTAGTAGAACTTGCGTATATTTACCACATATGATGCTTCTTACAGAATCATCTCTGTTCTGGGTTACTTATGACTTAAACTATGTGCTGGTGTATACCAGAAAATCCAAAAAGTAGTGCAGAAAAGATAATGGAATCAAGACACTATGGACAAATACATATCTGTTAAAACTTGCACTCTATACTGATAACTAAGAAACATTCATGCTGAAAATAAGGAAACACACCAAAAATAAATGCAGAAAGAGTTCTGTGAGCTATTTGCAGAACTTTCCTCCGTAAACATGTAAAGCTGATCTGGTTCCTGTCCCTAATGTGGATGTCACCTTGGGAATACTGTGGGCATCATCAGGAGGAGAAAGAAGCAGTGTTAGGCGGTTCTCACCTGATATTTATATGATTAAGAGATATTACAAAACGGGATTATCAGAAGGAAAGAGACTGATCATTAGGGAATGCTTATATTTTTAAACATTGAAATTTTTTCCCTTTTCACAGATTCACACTAGAATGCCTATACTGTAAATTAAAAAGTAAAATCCTGCTAATGGGCACAGTTATTTTGATATCTAGTATATAGTAGTAATGATTATTGAAACCATACAGAAAGCACCCACAACTATAATGCATGAAACCTTCTTAGTGTCTTCAGTAAAGCATGACTGGTCAGAGGCTGATCCTTGTCCCACATCCTGGTGTAAACCAGGATAATCTTCACAGATGTCAGTGGAATTACACTGGTATGAAAATGGTTCGGGGGAGAATTCGCTCCAGGAAGGCTCTTGTACTTCTATTGTCAGGTTATTGTTAGCTGAACCACATAGCTTTGGGTGATGGTGTGAATACTGTTAGATTTTCATGTCCTTGTTCTTCTTCTCTGAAAGCACCCTTTTTCTTGTCAGGATTTCTGGTTTATGTTTGGGCTATGTAACTTTTTTTTTATATTATCTCCTAAACCTTTTTTTATGAAAAGCAAGAGAGTAGACATGTTTGAATTAATCCTTTGGAATTCCTTTTAATTTTCTTTTTTAATTTTTAAAAAAGGCAAGTGTTTAAATTTATCACCACGTATTTTCTGTCAACAAAATTAGGACACTGAAATAGTTAAGGAATGACTGTTTAGTAGTTCAGTAGCAACATCTTAGGAATCAGATAAAGAAATTAACTTCTGATAGTCAATCTATGCTCAAACAGATAATGAAATAGAAAACAAAATCTCGGATTTTATTTTCTTCAGTGTAACTTAAAGAGTGAATTGGTGTATTTTGTTTTATGTACAAGCCACGAGCGCTCTTTGGGAATGTTCCAGTAGGAATAAATTACAGTATTGACCAATGCTGGTAAAAAGGAAACTGCTGAGCATTATGTACAGTATCTAACAAAAAACATGTTTACTGTGAGGCTGTTGAAAGACTTTATGTGGTTTAGAGTTCGAGAGTCCTGATTCTGCTTAAAGGACTAGTGAGTAAAATAGCTGAAAGATACGTATGCAACATTTCTTGCTTTCAGCATCATGCTGTAATAAATAGCTCAGGTGGAGCAAATACGAACACTTGATAAAACTCTGCACAGAAGTTGCTTCCTGTAAGCCTGCTGGAAAAAAATCTAGAAGATATGAAATGTATCAAGGGTTCAGATAAATAAAAATATGGTAAAAGTAGGGCATCTAAAAGCATAGAGTAGAGCATTGCGTAAATTTGAACCCACTGTTCAGAACTCCCGCTGACAGAGGAAGTTTCCCATGAATAAGGGCTGCAAGTATGGTTTTTGAAGAAGGAGGTTATTATAGCTGTGTCGGTATACTATGTATTTCCACAAAGCAAAAAGCAGAGTAAAATGAAAGGAATGAAGAAAGTAAATACGACTGAGCCAAAGTTTAGACTGCTTTTAAATACATGAAGCTGTTGTTGGCCTCAGCATATGGCTCAAAAATGTGGATTCCAAATTTCTTGGCAGCAGCTTATTCCTTCCTATGTATGCCTGGAGTTTTTACTGAGTTATTCAGCAAAAGGGTCTTTTTAGTGATGGAAATTCTTAGGGCAGCTCTGCGAGGTTAAATTAGTGGGAAGGACCTTCAAAGCTGTGATGTTCTTAGGATTCCAATGATTAAACCTTTCTCCAGAATGTTCCAGAATTTAAATTCTTGAGGCATATTCTCCATTAAGCTATAAATACTTCAGATAAGTACCTTCTTGCAGCTAGGATTGAAGTAAATTAATTTTTGTGTTTAGGTTGAGATTTTAGAAGGTGAAACAGTTTCCAATACTCTTAACTTTACAGATCTGGCAGGCAGGATTGTTTAATCCTCATCATAAGAGGTGATTCCTATCCAGAGATCTAACAAACACTGTGTGAATTTTAAAAAGCACAAAATTCAGATGTTTTTAAAAAGGAGATACACATTTCTGTGTATGCCCTGCTGAAGAAGGATGTCTAGAGGCTGAGTCACCTGGCAAGGCATATGTGGTGTTTAGCCTTCCTACTACATGGAAGTCAGAAAAATAGGAAGGCAAGGCCTGCCCGCAGGAGCCTCCGCAAAGGCATCTATACCATATGTTTTAATAGATCATTCCCTTTTTCTCCGTAGAAATTACAATGGACAGTAACAGTGAAGGCGGTTGGTCTTGGTCAGGTAGTGAGGGAAATATTTCACCTGTAAAAGAAGAAGCTTATTATCGCAGCATTGGTGGACACAAGAAATGGCCTCAGCAGCGTACCATGGCCCCTGACTATAGATACGGTATGCCCAACCTTCTTCGTCTTTTGTGACAGACACGTTGTAGAGCTGCGTGTTAACAAGTGCGGTTTCTGTATGACAGCATTGCATGCCAAGCAGAATGCCAGGGGAGCTAGCTCTTAAGTCCCGTGCGCTCTCAGGTAAGTTTCTCCAGCTCAGCTGGAAGGGACAAACAGCCCCTAGTCCTCTGTCCTGGAACTGCTGTGCAGCCACCTTGCCCTACTCGGCCGAGTGCCAGCACACGCATTGCATGAACCTCTGTGAAGCTACGCTGCTACTACTGCCAGTCAGTCTTTACTGTATACACCTGAACGGCCATTCATCTGAGCCACCACATCCCACTTGATTCATACGGACCGGGCAGGGACAAACAGTAGCTGGTATATCACAACCCCGTGTCCTACAATAGGAAGCAGTTGCCAAACGTTATTCTGATTTATGATTTGGGATAAACCAAGGTTCGGGGTCTTCTTAGTGACCACACAAGGACTTTGGCTGTGTCGCTTGGCAAAGACAAAAATTATTCTTATTTTTAGGAATAATTACGTCATAATGACAAACTTGTGTTACGTGAGTAAGGCAGTTATACCCACTACTGATAGTATTTGTTGCTTCATCACCATAGAAATCATTACATGATCAACCACTCAGTTTTCATAGTTCATAACACAGTAAATTGAAGTGTCTGACACTTGACCCGTAAAGGCAGCCCAAGCGATATATAGAACTAAGAAACTTGTTAAGGCTTTGTCAATATCTGAAATGAAACCAAAGGGAACCTGAAAGTTTAGTTAAATCATAATTTATTATCTGACTGACTTATAACCAGGCCATCAGCGTGTGTATATCTACTGAATGCAGTGCAGCTGTGGTTGCAACTGTGCATCAGTTGGGAATCTGGCTGACTGCATCTGAAGGCTAAAATTTTACATACAGAATTATATATGTGTATGTATATCTGACATACATATATACCTCTTGAAAGAATAAGTGGCTAATGAGCTTATCAAGAGATTATTTGCTTTATGGTTCACTGAAGTGACTGCTCTCAGTCAGATTGTCACAGACCAGTGCTTTTAACAGATACATTTGGCTATAATTCATGCTTGCACCTAACCCCCAGTTGGAGTTGGATTAGAAATTGATATTTTTAATTTAAAAGAAACCAAAACACCCTTTAACCCACCTGGTTTACGTTGCCTGGTGGGCCTGAGTGTGAATCGCAGGATGACTGCAGCCTGACTGTGAGAGGACAACAAAACAAAGAATGCCATCATTTGTGTCCCATTGCTTTCTGTCCCAAGTGTGCCCTTCTCCAACACTTCCTTTCTGTGCTTTGTGCCTGCCTAAAGCTTCTTGGCTGGATTTTTTCCCTGCATTTTTGCTGTTCTGCATTTTTTTCCTATTCACATTCTTTCTTGTGCTCTGGACCCAAGTTAGTAGCTGCTCCCTTAAAGCTGTGACCCTCTGAAAATTTTTTCTAGTAGTTTAAAAATATCAAGTATTGAACAAAATTATTCTGATGTAAAGGCAGAAAGAGGAATTTTATCTAAAATGTTCCATATTGAATGTTCAAACTATTATCAAAAATACGAGTAAAAATCATATTAATATGAAAATTGGAAAAAAATTATATAGTTGACTATATTATCATTATAATTCAGAGCATCACTTTCTCAATTTATTAATTTTGAAGGAACTTGTAAACTGGATGATAAGTGTTGTTTCAGCAAAGAACTCAAGTACGTGACTCCCACTGAAGTTATCAGGACTTGCACAATAAGCCAAGATTTTCAGAAATGGCTTGTGATTTTGAGAAGTTTATTTTTGGGGACTTCATATGTCTTGAAAGAGCCTGTCTTTTGGGAAGGTGCTGCCACACGCTCTTTCAAAACAGAATTAAAAGCCTCTGAAACCCGTCAATCAAAACAGTCGTTGTGAGCTGTTTGGCCTCGTTTTCTAATTCAGTTTTTCTGAAGTCCATCCTTAGGTACGTTGTTGAATCATGGACTAAATGCATTCTCCAGGTCATCTGAAAAGTCTGAAAGATATATGAGACTAAATGTCAATTTTCATGTTTTATGTCCTGATTGATTGGGTGCCCCGCAGTGGACACAGTTCAGTGCAGTGTCAAGTGCCTTAAGAGTTGTGAATGATCTTTCCTGTTTTAAATGCAGTCATAGCTAACCATTTCTCCTGGATATTATCACGTCTTGTTGGTGTTTGGGGCACTGCTGACTATGTTAACTATTGACTGTAGTTAAACAAAATCATAAGTAGTGTAGTTCCAACCCCGGCATAAGTAGCACTGCTGAAATCTGTCTCTTCTTGCCTGTCTGGAGAGAAGTTACAACCATGTTTTAAACCTGGTACCTAAAACATGGTCTGTCAACACAGCTGGGATGTGCTTTCTTGTGTCCATGAAGAGCAGAAGCAGCTCTGCTGGAAAACAGGTGGATCCAAAGCATGATTATTTTTGCAGTAATGATAAAGCCTAGCAGACTCATCATTATGTCACTCCTAACATGTTTCATTAATTTATGGCAACCTCTAGGGAATCTAACAAAAATTATTATCTTACCTGAGCTGTATTCACTTTTATAAATGTCAGTGTGGTGTAGGGGATCATTACCACATTCATTGCATGCAGACTTTATATGCTTTTTAAAAAAAATAACAACTTGCTGATTAAAAAAAAATTAAAAAGCAACACACTAAGCTTAATAGGACTGTGTTAAGTTATTGGGTTTTTTTAATCGAAATGCTGAACGTGAATTTTCAAGTATTAACTGGAACAATTGAAAGATGAGGCGAACTAGTATAACTGAATTTTCTTTTTTGAATTTACTCTCATAGATGGCTATGGTGGTCATGACCATCTTTCTCCAGATATTTATGAAGAGTCAGAAACAGATCCTGGCACAGAAGATATTTCTACTCGAATATTTGTTGCACTCTTTGATTATGATCCGCTGACGATGTCCCCAAACCCTGATGCTGCAGAAGAAGAGCTGCCATTTAAAGAAGGACAGATCATTAAGGTGGGATCTAAACCCAAAGGAAATGAAGGACCCAGTCTTACAAACAGAGTCTCTTTTTGTTTCCTGTGGAGAAAGCAGCTCGTGTCACTAGAATCCAAGGGTTTTTGCCTTGAGAGGTTCAGGCTGTAAATCTCACTGGGTCTGGAACCTCATATCTAGTGCTGATGATTTAAAAATAATTAGGTAATGCGGAAAAATCTCAGGGTTGCTGCAGATAGTTGGGACCAGACCCAATTAGGGGCTTGGGTGCCAAGACCAAAACTGTGACTGTGAAGCCCCCCATGTCCATTGTCATGAACCCCGGAGGAAAACCTGCTCAAGAGAGGAAGTTTTTCCTGCAGAGGTACCACAGGAGTGCTTAGTGTTGGGCTCTCAGATGTGCCAGAGCTGCTGCAGTTTTTTAAAACAATGTACACTCCTAGCAAGTATATACTTAAGATTAATTGAAGTGCAGAACTTAGGCATTTCTCTTCTAGAGTCATCCTTTTCTGAAACTGGGAAAACCACTCCCTTTTCTCTTTGATATAAAACACACAGGCTGCCTGTAAACAGGGCGCAGAAGAAAAGTCAGCGCTGCTTCGAGTGACAGGGACAGTGTTAGGCTCTACCAGTGTTTTTGGCCAGCCCTCTCTCCCAGCTTGCCTCATCTTACGACTGTACAGCTGTGAGACAGATTTGTTCAGCTTGCAGATCTGCTTTTAAAAAGCCAGCAGGTTTTTCTGTACAATCAGCAAATGTCAGCATCTCCTCCAGCAGCCTTGTAGCTCATGGATCTGGTGCAAAACGGGCAGAAATGAGAGAGGCAGAAGGAGCAGCTGCTGGTAGTTCAAGGGTAGTTGAGATTTGTGAGCTGAAAGAGAACCTGAAAAAATATAGACTAATCTGTTACACTACCCGTTTCAAAGATAAAATTGTAACTAAAGTCCTTAAAATACTGACTGCCTTCCACTGCGTTGACTTTGATCCTAACACAAATGTTTGCATCCTAAATCACAGTTTTTTAGATGATAAATACTTTGCTTACCTCCTTACATGATATAAAATTTACGCCAAAATTGTGAAACTTGTTTAAGAGCTTATTTTTCTTTACAAGAATGTTCATTTCACTCAGGTATTTTAATTATTTCTTCACAAATTTGTACGTTTGGCACTGAAAAGTCTAGAGAGATCTCACATCAGATATTTACTTTATATTTGGGACCATGGTGATTACTTTGTGATCTGCTGCTGGAATTGGTTTGCATTCCCCAAATACTTTTTGTACGTTACCCGAGCAGTGGGATGTGGAGGGTGAGTCCTACCACGAGCTGTGTGAAGTCTGTCCCCTCCGTGTGTTATGGCCACACGTGCTGCACTGTGTGGTGGTGCCAGGTAAGTCATGGATACAGAATGATTAAAACTAGAAAACGTTCCTGCTCTGGAAAGTTGAAGCAATTTTGGATTTACCTGTTCTTATTGATGAACAGCCATGCCACATTATACATAAATTCATGTTTTCTGGAAAGACAATAGCAGAGCTTAACCACATGTCAAGTATATTAAGTATTAGGTAGGCATTTTGATCACATACAAGTTGTTCTATGACAAATGACAATACTTCATCATAGTTTTGCAAATGCTTCATCTTTGATTTAATTCACAAAGCTCCAAAGATGATGCCGTGTGGATAATGCCATAAGCAGCAGCGCAAACCGCTAAGTGTACAGAGAGAAACTGCTGACTCTTAATGGTGTCGCTCACTTTTTGTGCATTTCAGTGCTGACAAAGTGCAAATTCTGCTTGTGAAGTAATAATTGAGATTAATATAACAATCCCAGTTTGTAACATAAGCGAGAGTAGTCAAAAACTAATATAATTCCACATCCAAACCATAGTCATCTGTGTATGCTTTAGTAACCATTCAGCCTGCAATAAAATTCCTAAACGCTAAAACCTTTATTAACCAACATTATCACTCTTTGAACAACAGGTTTATGGGGACAAAGATGCTGATGGATTCTATCGTGGAGAAACCTGTACCAGAATTGGCCTTATCCCATGTAACATGGTCTCGGAGATCCAAGCAGATGATGAAGAGATGATGGATCAGCTGCTAAAGCAAGGGTTTCTTCCTTTGAACACACCAGTTGAGAAAATTGGTAAGGGAGAATAGATACACTTCACTTCTCCTAACTTTTGGGTACTGTTAACTTGGCTGGATCCGCTTTGCCTTTTGTTTTTCTTACATGCAGATGCATCTAAATTTTACAGCAATTTACCACACCATGGGATACATTCTGTGTCAGTATCTGGATGACTTTATTCAACTAATTTTTTAATCTTGGTCACATCTTTTGCTGCAGATCAAGACTTGTATCTCCACCACTCCACTCATTTCTTTCTTCAAAAAAAAAATGGTTTTTGTGACCTGAAAGATTTCTAGACACAGAACATGATCCCTGTGCTTTGGAGTGTGCTGTGCTGAGTTGCTTTGTGATATGCTCACTGCTGCAAAGCATAAAAAGAATCACTTATTTTTTGTTATTTTTACTCTTCTACATTTTCCTACTTTACCAATAATTTAAAGGGATGGTGGCAAAGGGTTATGTGTAATCTCATTTGGGATAGCACTACAGAGTATAAGATTTTATGGATATTGCAGTAACCTTTACAAAGCAGAGTTTGGCCAAACAATTCTGTGTTATGAACCACTTGTGTTACATCATTGGTTCAGTGGTGTACACAGAAGCACAGTGCAAGTATTTTAACTTAGATTTCTTTCTAAAAATAAATATCATACAACTACCTCCACGTGTTTTAAAATTTTTAACATGATACAGAGGGCTGGAATTGTTTCAGTCCTGTTTAAATGTGAACTGTAAAAGTGGTTGCTAAAAAAACATCTACCGCAATTGTTTTCTTAGATTGAATAAAACCTTATAATTTCCAAAATATTAGTAAATGTGAGACAAATTATTTTTGTTGGATTTTTTTTTTAAGGTATTGAGGTATTCTAAGGTTCTCCATTGTCTGTGGAAGAGAGGGATGATTTAAGTTCTTAAATGCTTAACTGGGTTCTTAATTCAAATCTATGTATTTATTTACTTAGGCCACGTAAATACAACAAATCCTCCCACCCACAGGCACTTGTAAACCCCACTGCCCATCTGCTCCTCCAGGCAGGTGGAGCATATACACCTATAGGGACATTTATAGGACAAAAACTGGTGACGGGCGCACGGTGGGAGCAGCCGGTGTGCTGAGCGGGCTGGCTGCCTGCACGAGGAGTTGTAGCATCATTTGAAGTTAGAAGGAGGTACCTAAACCTGCTTCAGGTACAGCCGTAAACACAGCCGGGGGCCCAACGGGATGAAGAAGTGTCTAAATATGTTTCTACTTCTAGTGGTGAGGTCACACGTGGGTACAGAAAATACCTTCGTGAACAGCTCCGGTTACTGTTTTAAGTGCTGCTCAGTGCTCTCAGATCTTATCAAAGCCAGCAAGTTGTTGATACAGAACACTTGTGAAAATGAAACGTAGCTCCCCATAATTTGAATTTCAGCTGTCTAGCAGTCGTATTTTGCAAATATAATTGGACTTTTTTTGTTGTGCTCAACTGGCAATGTCTCCTGAAATAGCTGAGAGATCAGAAAGTCTTCAGTTTGGAAAGAGGCAATTTATGACAGAAATGTTGTCCTACCTTACATTTTTAAACAATCCTTTTTATTCTGGGATGTCTCTGAGCGAGCTGTTTGCAACCCACCCAGAGCAGTTCACCTTTAAATATTTTAGCACTTTAAAAGCATCACATGTGTTCTGTTTATTATGGATTTTAACTGTAGCCCTTTAAAACCCAAAACCCAACAAACTCTTACTATTGAATTTGGAAAGAATAGTTAGTTTGGTGTAATTTGAAACCAAATACAATTCTGAATAGCAGAGATCCACGTGCTCAGACCCTCCCTATCGCAGAGGCTGCCCAGGTGGATTTTAGCAGAAGCAGGCTCTCATTACCAGCCTGTCTCATATTGTTACTCATACTTTTAGTGTCCTATCAGACACTTTACATGCTGTGTTCATATGACTATATTTTTCTTAATCCTTTGCCCACATGAAATCCTTAAAAACAGAACTTTGAACAGCTTGACATCTTTTCTTCTTTTATTTGTATGCATTCCTTTCCTGAAGTCAACTGTGACCGTTTCAAAGAGAGCACACGCTCTGTACACCGCAGATCCAGAAAGTCTAAAAGAGGTCTGTGCTAAGAACCAATAATTTGCTTCAAGCTGTAAATTAGCTGAAATGATTTGAACTGTCTAGATTTAATTTTTTTTTTAATGCCTTTGAACTTTTGGAAACCAGAACTTGGAAAATACTGTCACGTAGCAATTTCTTGTAGGGTCCTTTTTGGAATCTTTTCTTGGTCATAGAGAGGCCCTTGACCCTGAACAGTGAGCAGTGTCTCGCCCCAGAGAAATACTTGGAAGTGGAAAGTGTGGCTCTGAGACACTCTGTAGGTGTCAGCTGATCCAGGTTTGGGGAGTCAGGGGGATCAGGTCCCGTGTCTGTTACAATTCGTGCCTTCATTTTGGATCTCTCCTTGCGTTTGTGTAAATCCCTTGCATTGGTAGCTGGGAAAATAACGCCAAACCACCCACTGCAAAAGTAAGTGATCTCCTCTGACTGAATGCTTCCATGTCAGCTCTGGGTGACACGAGAGCTGTGGGTGCATGCCGCACTCAGGACTTGCTCCTACATTAGCTGAACCTTTCCTGGTCACCCTCCTGCCAGAATGATCACAGGTGCCTCCTAACCCCAGGTTTCCTTTGTCACACCGCATAGCGCTCGTCCGACCTGCCCTCAGTGCCTGCCTGTAAGTAGCACTAACAAGCATGTTCCTCTTGCCGCAGCAATCATCCGCAAGAATCATGCTAATCGCATTCGAATTTGGAATGAAGCCCATTTTGGACTTCTCTGCAAATGTTTAATATCAATTAATAAACATTTCTTGTGGTTCCTGGAAACTACAAATTTTACTTCTTTCCTCACGAAGGAAACTTGTAAAATTAAACAGTACTTGAGAAAGTGTTTTTGTAGCCAGAGGCTTGAAAAGATGGCAGACTGCTTGCATACTGACTATGTCTTGGGACAACTGAGAGTGCCCATTTGTCCTTCCAGTCTCCCGGCAGAAAGTGGAAAAATAATCCCAGGCGCAAATTCCTTGTGATTAGGAAGCGGGGAGGGAATAGAGAGTAGATGTGGAAGTTTGAATAAAATTAGACAAACATGAATTTTGACCATTTGGCTCAGTGTACCCTGGTAACCTCGGATTCTTACAACCAAGAATGGTTGAAAATTTTGGAACATTGATTTTTTTAGCTATATACTATTCAGAGGATTTAATGGCTTAGAATAAAGTGGGCGAGCCAACAGTTAAAAATTATTTATGGAATTTACGTGCTGTTTTGAAACCTTTATCTGTGTTAATAGGCTTGGTAATCCGTGATCTTTTATCACTATGCGAGAGAAATGTCAACGTTGTCACTGCGCTGTTGTGAAAATGACGCGGGGAAAAGTTGCACCTTGTTTTTCTTTTCAAAATAACTTTGATAGCTTTCCTTCCCTTCCTCTCCTTGTGATTGGAACAGAAAGAAACAGACGGAGCGGCAGACAGCAGTCAGCGTCTACGAGGAGGATGGTGGCACTGTACGATTACGATCCGAGAGAAAGTTCTCCTAACGTTGACGTAGAGGTATTGACACAAGTGTCACTGTTCCGCAGTTAAGAGCCCGGTGTGCTCTCTGCAGAGCCCAGACTGGAGGTGTCTGTTATGAAGCCTTTATTGAACAGGATCATGTACAGCTCCACACTTCAGCTCAGGAGGAGCTTTGTGATTCAGGAAAAGCAGGCTCGGCTGTTCCGGTACCCGTTAGCCCCAGTGCTCAGCTCAGTACAGAGCGTGGGCCTGAACCACGTCCCACCCGTATGTCTTGTTCCCTCCTTTCAGAGGGATTGACTTCAAGGGACCTTTGAAGCTGCATAGTTCAGTGCTTCAACGTTTGTTCAGGCCGTGCAAGGCTTCGTGCAGATGAGTTCTGAGTAGCTCCACAGTCTGGCTGCACTCAGCTTGTTTGTTGTAGGGAGTCCTGTGGGTGTCCAGAACTAGGGAGAGAGGTGCCAGGTTTAGCAATTTTTTTTAAAAAAGTAAGCAAATTTAAAAAAATAGTTTTGCTCTTCAAGGTTCCAATTGGATTCACCAATTGTGTCTTAACATGGAGAGGGAAAAATATTAATGGCTTTACTCTTAGTAAGGAAAATGTTAACACTGGCATAACAAAACGTACTGTCACGTGTTGCTTTCCCTGCAGGCTGAGCTGACGTTCTGCACAGGGGACATTATCACCGTCTTTGGGGAAATTGATGAAGATGGCTTTTACTATGTGAGTTGCTCTCTGCTTGGTCATGTCAAACTGCTGCCAACTGTTGGAGCAGTCTTAACTAGCACGGATGATTAAATGGCAGCTTGGGGGAATTTCAGGTCACAATTCCAGCTTGTTGTGTTGTGGGAGTAGCTGTGATCCTCCGTGGACAGAAAGTCAACCTACATGGCGTGTCCAGAACCACTGCCTGTTGGGATTTGCATCGCCACGCCCGCTATGTACAGGACTGAGGTCACAACCAGCCTTGTTAGAGAGCTGGGGCGTGGAGCCACCCTCAGCGCTCCCGCTGCTGCGCGCGGCAGAACCCGGGAAACTCTCTCAGCTGAGAGAGATCACGCAGCACTGAGCAACGGCCACTCTTGCACCTTTAGCACGTTTTTGAGGATCCTTGGTCATGAGGCCCAGAGCCACCTCTGGCATTTTATAAGTCATATTTGCCTCGTTTAGTTTGCTGGGAAGTGTGCATGCTGATCCTACGTGTATCTGTGTGGACATGTAAATGATGTCTAACAGGTAAGGCATGTCACGGGGGAGAACAATCTACACTCAGCCGATCCCTGTGTGATAAATCAATCAATACAGGGGCTCCGTAGTCTTTTAAGCACTAGTTAACTTATTGTACTACTTTGTGATTCCCTCATGAAGAGGAATAATTTAATCAGGTGGGTGTCTTGTCTTCCTCACACGTGCTTTGAAATAGTCCAGAGTATTTCTGTGCTTTCTTGAGAACTTACATTTGCTTTATTTGAAGCACTCACTGAAATTTTCACCATGTTGCAGGGTGAACTTAATGGACAAAAGGGGCTGGTTCCTTCCAACTTTCTTGAAGAAGTGCCTGATGATGTTGAAGTCTTTCTATCTGATGTACCCTCGCGATACGTTCATGATACACCGATGCGTACAAAAGCAAAAAGGGTAAGCAAATGAATAAGTAAAACTTATTTTTTTTATTTCCCATTCCATTCTGCCTCATATATAATTTAGACATTACTTTTAACCTTTTAAATTCATTTACCCATTGAAATTTAACTTTCAAGTATATAAAATAAAACATAAAGCCAAATGACCTTACTTAGCCTTTCGCTAGCTCATGACATTTGTAAATGAAGAAACTAAATTTACCGTTTGATTGCAGCCATTACAGTACCTTCAATTATAATTTGAGTTTAAGCAGCTTTTCCCTGGGGAAAGTAGTTACTTCCTAATGCTTCTAAACTACTCTTACTACGTGCAATATCTAGATGAAAGCACAAGTTCTCACGGACAAAAGACTGGTACAAGCATTCAATTAAGTACAACTTGTAAATGCAGCTGATTGACAGTGTTCAGCCTTTAATCCTTATGACTCCCTATTCCAACTGGCATTAGTTAATTGCCCAGAGACTTCTCTTTTAGGAAAGACTGATCATGTTTAGAGTATCTCA